CCCCTGTTTGATCGCTTTTATGCCCCGCAATTACCGCAAATATCTGTTGTCTATGCCTTTTTATGAGCTTGGGAAATGGCCTATTGAATAATTTGGCCAACATTGATTTGACAACTTCATTGGCCGCGTCTGTTCCCATTTGTCCCTATCGTTGCTGTATCAACATGAGCAACAGCAGCGGCAACACACAAAAAAGTGTCATCTGAGATAATTTCCTACATTCATACCGGGTAAAAAGATTGCGCACACCATTTGTCTCTTGTTTGATAGCGATCTCAGCCAGCAACAACATCGGCACGCCAGCAACAACAAACTCCCACGCAAAGTTGCAGCCACGGCAGCAACAGCAACACAAGCAACACCAGCAACAATTACAATTGTTGCCTCAAAAAAATAGCCCAAAAAAGCGCTTGTGGCCCCCTTTCTTCCTCTTGGCCATCTTCTTTTCATGCAGCATGCTATTTTGCAAGTGCAGAAGAGCCCAAAGAAGGTGCAGAAGATTTGGGGCTCCGCGGAGGGGGGCGAGGTATCCAACACACGAAGCAGACAACCTGTCTGCCAAAGTGTTAGACAACTTCTCACGTCTCGGCCAGAAACACATGGAAAAAAGTAAACCCAAAGCTGCCTCAATTGGGGGACGCCTCTTTCTAAAAAGGTGTCGTCATGAGATTTTCTTCCTTGAATTAAATACACTAATAACTTAGGGGATTAATATCAAAACACGCCGGGATCAAATCGATATGAGCTTGGTAAATGTATAATATAAATTTGATCATCGTTTCATATTAAGTTTATTTATTTTATTTTTTGGTCTATAGACTAGATTTTGTATTCAGAAGTATCACTTATTTTTAGAAAACTATAAAGTAAATTGTTCCTAAAACAATGGAATATAAAATATTATTTGAAAATATCATAATAATCCAATAACAAAAGATTTAAGCAAATAAATGCATTAGTAAATTTTAGTAAGAAAGAGAACTAATCATTCAAATAACTAATATCAACTTAAAGTGTATTATCCAAAAAAAGGGAAAACAACATTCGCTTTCCACCATTTGAGGCATTCTCCGCTGTGTTACATTATCAATTAGCCTTGGTGGCCCCTCAGCCGCGCGCTCGTCAAACAGAAATAAAAGGAAAATGCAGGGAAAACTAACCATTTTCCAGCTGTAACTCCCACCGGCCCATCGCCCCATCTCGGCTGGCTTAGCGAGTTGGTATTTAAAGGAAAATGGTCTGGCCAAAGGTTGAGTGTGGAGGGAAGTAATTGATGGTGCGCGGTGTTTGGTTCGAGAGTGGCATCTTGTCCGCTTTTTGGGGTTACTGAGGCAATGGGCGGTCTATATAGTTTGTTGTTCGTTTCCATTGTTGCCGTTGGAAATGCTAAAAGCCCCTGGAAAGTTATTAGCGTGAAAATTGCAAGTGATTGAGAAAAGTTAAGCCGAAAAACGAGGCAGGTCGAATTCGGAATGCAAATGAAATGAAATAGAAGTGTTGTTAAATACATTAAATAAAAAACTACTTCTTAATATAAGATTTTATTTCAAAGATAATTTCTTATGTTTTCTGAATAACATTTTTAAGGACAATAAATTTATACAATGCAATATATTTTTAAAATAAAATTTTAAAGTTTTTAAAGATCTTATTGCAGTTTCTTATGCAATAATATCCATTCAAGAAGACGAAAACATGCTTAAATTTAAACCGTAAAAAGCCAGTTAAATTTATTTGATTGCATGTAAATACAGAATTACATAGGTTCTTAAAAATTAATTGATTTAGCTCTTCAAAAAGGCTTAAAAGTTAGTTTATAGCCTTTAAGCGGTTAAAGATCTCTATTACATTCCCCATAAAGTCCCAGATTTTCCCATGACGAAAACCCCTGCTTTTCCACCTTTTTCCCACCCCATCAATGTACTGCACATTGCCAATCACTTTGCCCTGTCCCAACATCTTCAATTAGCATAAACTCAGCATTAACCCAAATAGACAAACGAGCGCCAACGGCGGCAACTTTAACCCCCTGAAAGCAGCGATGGCCCGAAAGGGAGAGAGATTTATTTGAGCGTAACGGCGGCAACAATGGGATAAGAAATCGAGGCAAGATCAAGATAGACAGCCGGCGAAGATGCAACACATGAGCAAATGAGGCTGGAACCAATGTTCCCCCGAGAGATCGACACAAAAGAATCACATATTTTCCAACTTCGATATATGTGGTGTGTTGTGTGTTGTGATCCGTGTTGGAGCCCCCAACTTTTATTGTTTTATTTTGCTCTTTTCGGCTTTTCATGGTTTCGTACGCATGAGATTGACAGTTGGTTGTCACATACTCTTTTCAGACCCCGAAACCCAAACCCCCTCGCCCTCCCCCGTAATTATTTGCAACTGTTGCAAGTGCACAATTTTCATCACTCGCTGGTTCTTTTGTTGGCTCTTTTTCGACAGTTTTTTGGGCTGTTGCATTTGCATTTTAAATTTCTTGTTTGTGTGGCAATTGTTTCAAATTGTAATTTGTTATTGTTTAGAGTTCATTTTGTTGCGATGCTTGGGCAATGTTTGCCTGCCACATGTGCCACCAGCCGCACCTCCCACAGAGCCACCCACAATTGAAGGTCGCTGGTCTGCCTGCGCTGAGATAATTCACACGAGAGATCTACAAAGTCATAATTTAATTCCATATGTGGTGTGCGAGAGAATTTGTTTTAATGGGATTATTATTTAATTTAATGCTGAATTTTAACAAATTCGAAATTGGGAAATTTGATAATAGTTTGACTAGTTGAATTACATTAAGATTTATATTTATTTTCATAAATTATTAAAGTAAGTAATAAAGTAAATACTTTGACATGTTTATGAACATTTTTCATTTAAATTTTTTATAAAAAATGTTATTTGTTTAGTATAAATTCCCTTAAATGGTAATAATTGTTTTTGAGATTGATTTATAAAGATGTCAACTTATTGTGGGCTTTATTAGATTATTTCCCTAATAAAAATTAAAAATATTAATTCATTAGAAAAGCTATAATTTATTTTTCTCTTTATATTTTCTTTAGCAAATTGATGGCTACACTGCTGGTGAGGATTACCCCGCCTACGATGCCGTACCCAAGGGATTGGCCTTCAATTGCCAGGGTCGCCAGCCGGGTTATTATGCTGATACAGAGACGCGTTGTCAGGTGGGATGCAAAATAATTATCAAAATTTTTAGAATCCCTTAAAAAATGACTTTTCCTCCCTAGGTTTGGCATTGGTGCCTCCACTCTGGCCATCAGTACTCCTTCCTCTGTCCCAATGGAACAGTCTTTAACCAGGCCGTGAGGGTCTGCGACTGGTGGTCAAATGTGAACTGCGAGGGATCGGAGCAACTCTACCAGAACAACGACGAACTGTATCGCATCCCGGAGCGCCAGCAGCAGCAGAATGACGTATGATATGAGGCCGATGATGAGTATAAGATTGGGACAGCAAACGGAACCACACAGCGCGGCGGAAGACAGCGGCAATTTCAAAACCAACAGCAACAGCAGCAGCAACAGCAGCAACATCAAGCAATAAACAGCAACTCGGCAATCAGCGGAATCAACAGCAGCAATAGAATCGTAGATAGCAGCAACTACAATAAAATGACCAAAAATAGCTTTAGAGGTAGCATGAGATTTACCACACCAAGTACCAATCCTCAATCGTCATACTCATCATCACAGCAGCAGACAGCAGCAACAGCAACAGCAGCAACATCAGAACCAGAAGCAACATAATTCTAGTAAAAATAGCGAAAGAAAATCAAAGCCTAGTAGAGTTAACCATAGAGATAGGGAAAGCAACCAAACTAGATCTAGGAATTCCCACTCACAGTACCCCAAAGCCCGGCAAGAAAACCAACAGCAACAGCAACAGCTCGCGAGGTAAACAGCGATATAATACTAATAAGTTCGAAAGCGACGCGGAGCTCAAGGATTACAAGAGCAAGATCAAGAACAAATACAATATCGATTATGATCATTCTTTGGATGAAGAATATGAAATAATCGAGGCCATCGAATGAGTTTAAAATAGCTTTATACTCGTTGTTCTTGATGTTGTTGTCACAAAAACGCCCCCTATTGGCGCTAATTTTCACCCAACAAATTTCGAATGTTCCCCAAAATTATCCGTTGTATATATGTTAGAGCAAAACACATTCCTTTCATTGTTAAATATACACACCACCTTTCATTTTCATTTAAATTTGGTAAAGAAAAACTTTGCTTGTGATGTGCACAAAGCAATCAAATAAAATGTATAAAATTTAAAAATGTCTTAACGGTTTTTTATTAACTGCCTTTTGAAATGTTGTAAAGCAGTTCAGATATGTGGATTTTAGGTCTTTTAGCTTTTAAAAGAGAGCAAGTAAAAATAGCAAAACAAGAAAATCATTAAAAGCTGAAAAAATGGTAGTAAGAACAATGTACTGATAAAAATATAAAATTAAATATATTTTAATTAAAAACTTTTTTAAATTTTTTTGAGCAGTTTTCTTTAACTTTTAAACAGATAAAAAAAAAGAAAAATGGACAAACAAGTAACAAAATGTCAAATAGTTCATTAAAAAATCAGGGACTTGGTGTATTTCTGCATTTTTATTTTGATTTGTATCTTAACTTCATGCTTCATTCATTGCTGATCTGATCTGAATTTCAAATTATGCGGTTATTCAAAATAAGCTTCTGATCATATGGTTTAAACTTAAAAGCTTTCGACTCGATAACAAAGACAAGACGATTTTCTTTTCAATGAAATCTTAACGTTCTGGAGATCATTGTGTTCAGCAGTGGTTGCATTTATTTTAAAAATCTTGCGGTAAATTAGTTTTTTTTAAACATTAATAATTTTCTAATCCAATAACATTTGGTTTTTTAGTGTTTTCATTGAGATCTGCAAAAAAAGAAGAAATAAAAAAGGAAAAAAGTGATACATTTGCCATTTAATCAAGACTTATAAGCAACATGTTTGAAAGACTGGCTATACTTTGTATAGATCTAGTTCTATATTACCTGCTAATGCCTGAATTGCCTGTATGGGCATTCTTGATGTTGAACTTGCTGTCTTTGAACTACCCGATCCATAGATTCGCCGTGGTTATCTTCAACGCCGCAGCTAAGTGGTATATATTTCCTTATTGTGAGGAATGGCTTGCCCAAAGGAACAGGGGCCAAACTGCCGTTCAACAATCCTAAAATCTTGCCTTCAGACGTCGTCCTTCTTCTTTATTTAAAAACTTTATAACCAGTGAAAAATTGAAAGAAAAGAAATGATTTCGCTTATAGTCATAAAAGAAAAACAAAAAAAATGTAGTCAATTTTAAACCATTTTAAAATTCTAAAAAAAACTATCAAAAACTTAAGGTAATGCTGTTTTAAAAAAAAAGAACAAAATAAAACCTCTGAAAAAATTAACGAGATTCATTTTTCTTTAAGAGGATTCCAGCGCTACATATTTTCTTTCAATTTCATTCCGTAGGTAAACAAACCCTAATCCCCCAAAATCACAAACAGTACTTGATGACTGTGAGAAAATCAAGTATAAACAAATGGGATTAAATATTGCTGACTACTTAAAAAAGGAAATGCTATCAATATCACAAACTTTGTTTGAAAACAGAGCTTTAAAACAGAAAATTGCTGTTTGATACAAAACTTAAGCTTTTGCTTAAAGCTATTAAATTTGTTTAAACGTTAAGCGGTAAAAATACAGTCAACAGGAAAATAACTTAAAAATAATTCAAAGAAAATATAAATTGGAAGAATTTAGTTACTGATTTTAAAAATATATCTATTTATTTAAGAAAAATGTATTTATTTTAAAGCAAAGCTTTTAGAGCTTTAGCTGATCTTCACATATATATATTTTTTTTTTTTTAAGAGATTCAATAGTATAGTTGTCTCATTTGCACACAAAATCTTTTTAAAGCTTAACTTGACAGCTACCAGCTGTGAAGAACCATATGTTATATAGCTTTCGATCCGACCAAAAAGAAGAAGAATTGTCAAAAATTATTTGTATGTGCTGCGTCCGTTTCGTTTCTTTTATTTTGTTTATTGTTACGATAAGACGATAATATGAAGCAATGGATAAATAATGCGGTGAGTGTGGCGGACCCTCTTTTTAACGATCTTATGATTAAAGCTTTGTGCGGTATCCGTTTACAATGAGAGTACAAACACTACCAACTTTGGGAAATGTACACAAACGCGGCCTAAATGGTGGGTGAATGTGCACTGTGACGTCTAAATGGGAAGAGGAAGCAGACAATGGTTAGTCGACATAATAAGTTAGCTAATCGCCCTTCACTGGATTAGTATCTACACTTAAGGTTTTGGGGGAAATGTAGGCAGAAGGCATAATAATAATGGTTTTAGGTTTTTTGATTAAGAAAGTAAATGTAATTCTTTTATTCTATTTTTTCTCGATTTTTCCAGATAAAATAAAATATTTTAATAATACCAACTGCACACTAACAAGACAATATTAAAAAAATACCTTCATAATATAAAAAAGATTAAGTTACTTTGCTAAGATTAATTGTTTCTGTTTAACATAACAAGATAGTGTGATCTACCATGTTTGTGTTTATGTTTAACTTAAATAAAACTCCAGAAAGGCATAAATCAGAAGGTGTTAGGATACAACTTAGTTATTTCAATCTAGAAGACTTTCGCATTTATTCCTTATTAAAAATAAAGTTTTTAAAGCCCCTCAAATGGTTTTGAAAACTTGATTAATGCAAAGCGTATGCAAACACCTCTGGTAATCTATGTGTGCCGATCATAATCATTACCCATCGGTCCATTTCCACACATCCACACCCCAGTCCACCCATCCGAATTTAAATGAGGGGGAAAAGAGTTGGAGTCGAAGAAGTAGTTCAAGTTTTCCAGTTTTGTATGAGATCGAGACTCGGTTTCCGCGTACAGCAAGGCGAAATAATCGCTGGTAATTATATATGGTGTATATAGGTACTACACCTACGCAATGCCAGTCGTTCGTGCATAAGAAATAAGCCTGATACAACTGATGCGGAAATATCGCGTCTTTAGGCAAATTCAAAATACGAATCCAAATCAAAATCAAAGCTAAAACGAAAACCAAGAGCCTAATTAAAAGTCAATTTCAATTTCAGTCATTAACCGAAAGCGGCACAAAGTGTGACACAGTTTTGTTTGGCACTCTTAACCCGCCCTCCGCGTTAACCCACGAATGCCCCCCAGCTGCTGGGAATTATAAATCACAAAATGTTACTTTTCTTGACCGTTCACCCACATTCGTTTTTCCCCACATTTCGGTTCACGTTTTTTAATGGGTTAGACGTTAGATGGTTAGACGACAACAAAGGCAACGACGAACTGGTAACTGGAGTCAAGTTAACACCATTTGCATTATGCAAGAAGCTTAAACAATATTTTTGGCCTCTTCGCTATTGTTGTTTTTTTTTTTTTGTTACGGTTTGGTGGAAGTGTCCACTAATTAATATGCAACTAAATAATTTACAGTGTGACGCGAATTTCATGCAAAATGTGAACAGAAATGCGATACGACATGGTGAGGGCAGCAGGCGGTGCAAAACAAGAAATTATTTCATTAACTCGACTTCATGATGTTGAAATTGTCTTCAATAAATTGCGCAAATTAAATTCATTTACCTTAAGTGATGGTGGCTTTTGGCTTTAGGGGAAGATTAAATGCTCTGAACAGTAAAGAAAAAGCATATAAATATGTGTAAATAAATCCTAAAAACAAGCATAATTCCAAAATGAATTTCATTTTTTTTTTTAATTTTAATGATAATATTTTTAAAACATTTTAACACCCCTCTTCTGATGATCATCCTCGATTTAACCAGAGTCCGAGAAAAAGAAGAGTAAAAATTGGCAAATGTCAGAAGGTCTTTCAAGGTGCCTGCGTCTGGTCTCGAAAAACCGGTAGATCGACGCACCAACACACCGCTCGAAACTCATCTCATCTCCGTCGGATGTGAAGAGGCGTCTTCTGCGAAATCTTCTTGACCATTTCGGACGACCTGTCGTTGCGAATCTTTGCTGGAGTCTTCTTCTGAAGATTCTGCTGATTCCATGGGACACTTCAGCCTCAGCATTTGCCATTTTTGCATCCCATAATCGACAGGAAGAGTCGCACTCGCGAGATCGTCCCCACAAACGAAGGCTATCCACTTTGTATGCCGCATTTGCAACTGGTTTTCTACTTTGCCTCCGTCCAGTGCAGTTTAAGTTATTTTTTTGTCTGTCTTATAAATATGTTGCGTCTTTTTCGCATGCGTTTTGAAATTAATGCAAAACATTTCGGTGCGGCTTGTTTTCCCAGTGCTCCAGCAGAGAGACGTCTTTCGAACAGGTCTCCAAGTTGAAGTTGATTTGTGTGCTTAGTATAATTGCTGCGATTATCGAGTTGCGGAGAAGAGGAGACTCCTCCACTTCCCACTCCCCACTTTTTGAACATCTCGTCTTGGGTAAGGTTAAGTCGGTTTGCGTTAAGCGATTGTCAAGTGTATTCAAATCCAAAAGATGCAATCTCCGGCCAGTTTTGACTTGGCTCTGTCTCAAATTGTCGATCTGCCCGCTGACGAATGGCAGCTAGCAGGGGTGTAGTCTACCAAAAAAGGGGGTAAATATCTACAAATATTTTAGGTATAGCGGTGATTGTTAAATGACACTTAAAGTGGTAGCCATTTATAGCCCATCTTTAATCCCCTTGGATTGACTACAATTTGAAAGCTTATAAGCAGGGTCAATTATAGTTAAAGTGGGCGTAATAGTTGACTGATCTCTGAACCATTAAAAACGTTTAAATTTATAAACAAATTTGGAATTATGATTAAGGAGTTCATTACCAGGGCCATTGATTTGATTTTTTCTAGGCTTGACTTTTTCTTGTTTATATAAGGTCATCGCATCAGCTTCATAAATGTTTGATATGTTTATTTTCTGACACATCAAATTGATTTTTTAATGACTTTACAGTGGAAATTAACTAAAAGATTTTGTTAATGGGTCTTTTTCGGTTAATTGGCTTAAAAATAAAAAATTAGCCAACCCAAAAAATATGAATTAATTACTAAGTTAAAAATGAGAGAAGATCTCCAAACATTTCACCCAGTTCAAACGTTAATTGATTTAAATTTGAATAAAAAAAAGAGATTTAGGTTCTGTTAATAATACAAACTACATATATCTTTTATTATCTTTTTTTATTCCTTCTTTCACTCTTTATAAATTTATTACAAAATGTCTGCGTAAATCTCAAGGTTTCCTCTGACAAATTCGATCTGGTTTCCCAGCCAACCCATTTATCAGTTTGCCCTTAAAAATATCACTATGGACGGCAGTCCATGTAGTGACGAAGCGCACCAGGAGAGTGTGCGAAGGCGACTACTATATATACACGAAGAAATGAAAATCTACTGTGATGGTCCGATCATAATGAATGATACACCTATCGAAAGGTATTGCAAAAACTAACAGGATTGCATACCAAGACTCTAAGAAAATCAATTGGCTTGGGAGAGAGCGGTGAAAGTGAAAAATGAAAATTTCGAAATTTGGAGCTGTTGGGGCCGGTGGGGATAATTGCCCCCTCGCAATATTTTACTTGTATTCCTTTTGAAAATACCCGTCGAATGAGGGGTCGTTTGTCAAAATCCGACGCTCCGTTCAAAAGTTATAGCCAAAATAAGATTTTCTTCGTCTTCCCAAAATGAAAATTTAATTCTGTTTGTCAGTTTGTCAGTTTGTCAGTTTGTCCAAAACATGTTTTTTAAGTTTTGAAAATTTTATATGACGTTCATCACATCGATATAAAAAACTTTTGTTCTACCACTTTTGGAAAAACTCGCTAGTTTAGCGGGAAAACAGCTATAAATAGCTAAAAATCGGAAAGCCGTAACTTCTATACTACTAAAGCTACAGACTTGTGCTGCATCTCGTTTGAAAGGTATTCTTAAATTCTATAAACGCCTTCTATATGCAATTTGTGTAAATGTAATAGTTAAAAAAAAATGAACAAAAGACAATTTTTTAAAACTTTTTTTTTAGCTTTTTTTATTTTTCTAAAAACGGCTCTAACGATTTTGTTTAAAACCTTAAACTGTATAGCCCTTGAGATTCCTTAAATTTTGGTATATAACACATTACTGTAAAAAGTCACGTTTAAAAGTTATTTTTATACGAAAATAGCCACTGTTGCCAGCTCGAACAATTAACGCTCCCTGAGTATTGAATTTTGTGTGAGGGTATACGAACTGTATTTTAGGGTCATGGAATCAGTAAATTTGCACTTAAGAGTTCCATATAGGAGTCTTTTGTTCTACGACTTTTGGAAAAAGCCGCTACTTTAGCGGGAAAAAGCTAAAAATAGCTAAATTTCGTTAGTTCGTAAGTTCTACACTACTAAAGGTACACCCATGTGCTATACCTCGATTAAAAGGTATTTTGAAATACTTCAACGCCTTTTTAACTTAATTTGTTAAAATACAATAGTTTAAAAATTATGATTGACCAATTTAAATTTAAATGTATATATTAGCTCCTATGAGAGCAAATGTAAACAAACAAAAACTCCTGATATCAAATAAAAACCCCCTTAACGAGGTAAAAAAGACCGCACCTTCAACATAAAAAGTTCGATATCAACATTTGTGACGAAAAATTATACACTTGTCATTAAATAGACTTTCTAATATTTTCTCATTCGGCACGCTGCAATAGAAAATGCCTGTAAAGGGAAAAAGGCTGGAATAGTTTGCTAGGGCGGGCCGAATGAGAAAATATTAGAAAGTCTATTTAATGACAAGTGTAATAATTTTTCGTCACAAATGTTGATATCAGAACTTTTGTATGTTGAAGGTGCGGTCGTCACTAGTTTTTTACCTCGTTAAGAGGTGTTTTTATTTGATTCAATCTAGCCAAAAACCATTTTCCATGCTAATCAAGTAATCCGACCTGCCCCAAGCTTGAAATCTCCATACTACCGATGGCCAGGCCAAGTCCCCCATTCCGGTCACACCTTGTGCTCCATTTTTCGAACCACTTTTTCGCAATCCAATTTGTTTACCCTTTCGTTCGGCTTTGTGTGTGTATCAAATTAATTTCCAATCAAATTAAAACGAAATTTGTTTTCACAGGGAGCCGTTTTCGGGGCCTGAGACAAACGAAGAAAGAAAGGAGGAAGAAAGGCCGACCACACAGATAATACCCCGAATGCCCCGAACCAATTAGCATAATTAAGGCGCCTGCCCAATGGCTGACCATTGAGAGATACAATATCCGAGAAATACACGCACTTTTGGGCCCCCATCATCAACGCGATCAAATGCAAATGAGGCGACATCAGTCAAGCGGCCGTAAGCGAAATGTGCATCTTCGAAATCAACACGAAATCTGTGGGCTAGCAATTGCATAATAGAGCTAACCAAACACGACCTCATTTCCGAAATCGCAAAACCCCGATCGACGACGAGCACGACGGCGAAGATAGAGCCAAAGTTTTGCATGACGTATACGCAACGTGGACCGCCATAATGGATCTAATGGAGCTGCTGCATCAGCTGTTTCTGCACACACTCGACATCTTTAAGATCTACGTCAAGTTCGCCCTGATCACGCTGGTCATCTACTTCCTGGCCGAGTGGTATATCCTACGATATGGGGCCGAATTGGAGGCCGAACTTGATGCCCACCTGGTGGAGGGTGCTGAGCTGAGAGAGGAATCCCCCGAGCGACCCGAATCGAACAGCACTCTCAGCAAGGTGTTTCGATTTGTGGTGAACTTTTTCATCCTCTAGCCGACTCGATTGAACCCACTTGTCAAGGTCAATCGCTTATACAGCTGAATCGGTTTTGCTTTTTCGCGGAATTGCAATTCGATTCAGCCACAGCTCAAGGCTCCCGTCAAGAGAATGTAAAATCGAACCAGTTGCATTTAACAACAGAAAAATACAAAACAACAAAAGTAAAATAAAGCAAAAAAAAATCCAAAGCAAAAGCTGCAGAGTAAACACAATCTTTATATGTAATAAACAATAACAATAAGGAGCTGAAAAAAAGAAACAAGTTGAACCGCTTTTTTTTTTGTCTTTTGGGACGTAACAGAAGGTATCAAAATCGTTCATTACATTCGGTTCTGTTGGGTAAGCAAATAAGAATGACTCAAATTCAGTTTGGGGTGGGGCTCTCATGAAATTGGGCTAATTGCTGGGCAGTTTGTAAACAAAAGACCACGAGAATTTGCCGTAAAAAATACTTTTAAATTGCAGAAATTACACTCAAGGAAGTGATATATAAACTGAAATGCTAATGGCATTTTTATGGGATTCTTAATAGCACTCGCTTATAAATGAAAAGCATTCATCACTGTTGGCTTGTTCCTTGAAACTAAATAACACTAAAGGAGAGTTAACCGAAATGGGTTTTTATTAATTTATTTAAAAAGCTCTTTATTCAGAATTTTTTATTGCTTGCTTAAATATAATTTGCAAGCCAGACGTTAACCATCAGTTTCTGGTAATGTTTTTTAATTTAACTCGATTTAATCGAGCTCGAAACAAGGCAATTTTATAAAGTTCAATAACATATTAATTAAAATTGTCAGACTTGATATTACTGGCAAATAACTTAAATATTTTGAATGCTTATATTCGTATTATTTCCTGAACTGTCCAATATTTATCACGGACCACCCCTTCTGAACAAGTGTAATTTTCACAACATTCAATTTTTATCAAATCCATCTAAAATACCTATTGATCGGTGGATGGTTGTTGCTGGTTTGTCGACCAGTTAAGTAGTAGTTACAACACGTTGTGCCGACTGTTGATATCGTTGTTGTTCGGTTGTTATTGTTGTTGGTGAGTGAGTGCTACCTGCAACAAATGTGGAATACCGGTTCAACAAACCGTTCGACCCACACAACTAAATACATATAAAGAGCCGGGCGACACGGTGCTCCCATTCTCACACAGATATAGGGATATGGACACAGATACAAAGTTTTTGAACGTAACTATTTGTGAGATGTGAGCCACAAGGCACCAGGCACACGCCGCTGGCGATAAAGCACTCGACAATTCCGCATGCTACAGATACAGATACTCTAAGCTCTATTCCGATTTGAATAAACCCAGGCAGCCCAGGTTGACTTCAGTTCGCCTCAGCTGGGCTTAGTGTTCGAATTCAACTTTCACATACGGAACGAGCGCAGATGCAGTGCAGCATTATTGCCATTAGTGCGGTTGCTACTGCCACTGCACTGGGAAAAATATTATCCTCTCCTTTTATTTTATAAAATCATATAAGCTTTAATTTTGGGATGTAGGTTAACACTTGTTAATGAACTTGGCAATACTAAATAAATTTAGCTAATTGGTTTTTGTTTACATAACCAAACATAACTTGGCCTTGGGCTTTATTTAATTAATTTAAAGCTCCTCTAATAAAAATTCATAGGTCGCTGCATAATAAATATTTATGTATACTAATAACTTAGTAATTGTTTTTTATTAATAACATTTGAAATAAATAATGCAATATATTTTATTTCCATTTACAGACAACAAAAATAATATTAAATTTTTCTCAGTGTACCCTAAGCCAAAGCTGCAGTACTTAGTGACGTAATATTGGTGGACAGAGGGGGGCTTTAGCCTAGTGGAGATATACCATAAGCCGCAGTGAACGGAGCTTGATTGATTCCATTATGAAGAGAGCCGCGAAATGTTTTGCATTATTTTGCATTCGAAACCAATTTCGATCTGTGGTTTTCGGTCAATGAAAATCCAGCTCGAAGTGCAGTCTTGACCAACTACCGCGGCCAGCATTTAATTGCCAAACGAAGCGAGGCACTCGAACGAGCGGACCACGCGGCGTATGCGCAATAATTCATGAGGCGTTTAAACAATTTTTGTTTATTTACTATTGAGGCTCTGAGGGCCTGTGTTTCTGACTAATGCGTTGGCAGATGGCCTGAGTTTGCTTTTGGGCCAACGCGGTTCATTAATTGAACTGTAACCGTAATTTGGCCGTGTTATTGTTATTATGTCATTGCGGTCATCGGGTAATTGAGGAAAAGAAAGAGAGAAAAGCATTTAAGGCACTAAAAATAAACAATGCACAGAGGCATATTAGTTGGCAAATCGATAATGGATCATGATCAATTTATTAAGTAATCTATGGTAGGGTAAGGAGCTTCAAAATTATCTGTGCGATATATAATAATTGCAATCCGATCGCTGTTTTGAGTGTAGTGTATTAAAGGAAATGTGCTTTCGCTATGATAAATCGTTAATAGCTTTTTTTCAGTCTTTATAACTGCCTAAATAAAATGACTATATTAGGATTAACAATTAAAAAGTCGAGGTACCTCAAGCTAAACACAGTGGCGATCGCACCTTCAGCATCCTAAAATATTGATATCATATTTTGGAGTGAAAAATGGATATGCATTTTACTGAAGAAATATCATTGTTTTGTCCAAAACAAAATTGAAAAACTCTAAAATTTTCCAAAAGACACAGTACAATTTTTTATCATTATAGTACAAATGTACCACTAAAACACTTTTGCAATTTAAATATAGCGCACCTTCTCCGCCAACTGCTCCGATAAACCCATATTAATTTGTGGTACATTTTTCCAATATTTTGCAAGAAATCGAGAAAAAAAAGGTCTGAAAAAATCTTAATCAATAAACCTGTTAAGCACGATTATCAGGCAGCCGCCAAGTGAGCAGCACGCTCGAAAAGCAGAGCAAAGTCAGCAAAGGCAGTGCAAAGTCGCCAGGGAAACACAATTTCAAAGACACACCGATTGCAGAATGTTGACAGAGGAAAATGGACAAAGTCAGAGGCGAGAAAAGCTCGGCTTAGAGAGCACGACTCTCCGGCTCTCCAGCTCTCCGGATTACTTTGCGCTCTCCTTCATTCGGTGACAACGTGCTGCGCATGCGCAAAGTCGGCATCGAAGCGGCAATAAACCCGTTTTGTGAGGCGCAGACGGACCAAAATTAGCGAGCGATGAGCTTTCGACGGAAAAGCAAACGCAAAGCCAGCCGAATGCCCATTTTTATGCCAACTCCGAGTTGGCCAATACGATCTGCAATTTCAGTCTGCAAGCGGTCAGCGAGGTGAACGGCAGCTAGCACAGCTGGTCTCTAAGTAAGTGGGCGTGACCGATCGGGTGCATATATACATAAGTATATAAAATATACAAACGGGTGTCTCTGTGCGTGAGAGAGCTGGAAAAATTATATAAAAAAGTGAACGAAACAAATGGAAAATTTCAATATAAATATAAGAAAATGGCTGAAAAGTGTTCGAAAATAGTGTGAATTCCCTCTGAAATCCTTAAAACAAATCACTAAATAATAAACGCTTTTAGTTGGAATTAAGCGGAGATAACCGCAAAGGCAGTTACAAAATCAGCCAAACAACAATAAAAATTTCCACAAGTGCACTAACACAACCGCAGGCCCACAAAGAAAACTGCAGCATTAACACAAGTGCAAAAAAAAAAAAAACATAAATGATTTTTGCCTTTGTGTGATTTTGCGTGCGTTTGCGTTTGTGTGAGTGCCAACTTTTATGGGACTAAATTTTTATTGTTCATTTAAGAAACGCATTAAAATCAAACACACGCTGAAAACATTAGGAAAAATTAACCTTAACCAGATAAACCCAAAGCGACAACATTAAACCTTTTTGTGGATTATTCAAAACAAATTTCGACCGACTGAAAGAAGGTGAGTTTTAAAATTTGCATTTGCTTGTTAGAGGGCTCTGTAGAGCTTATCTACAAGTCAAACACCTCGAGTAGACTCAACACCTATTTATACACCCTTCCTACTGCACAGAAAAAAATTTGGGATAGTTTAAAAAGATTTTTAACTTTTCAACTTTTTAAAACTATAGTTTCTAAAAAATTATATAAAAGGGATGTTTTTATATAGGACTAGCTTTTGGTGATAATAGGTTATACAAAATGTATTATTATTAAATTTTAATGGAAATTTTACAGTGTTATTTCATGGAATTAAACTTAAAATAATAATATTTCCCTAAAGATCTTCAAATCATCTTCTAAAAATTATTTAAATTTTTCTTCGACGTTTCAAACAAACTAGACTCAAAGATTCTTTTTCCATCTTTCACATTTTTATTTTTAGTCAATGTAATGTTAAATGTAAGTAAAAAGTTATTTTATTTTAAATTTTCCTAAAAACGTGCATATTGTTTTTATACAAAAGGCTTTTCTCTGCGCTAAAGTCCACAGACTCTCATGGCCAAAAAGGCGTTTTGCCAACACAAAAGTACCAAAATGATCTCAGGCGTTGCTAATTATTTCTCTGCGCCTTGTACATTGTTAGACCGCCGCCCCCACCGCCCCTTTGGGCCGCAAAGCGAACACCACCCTCCCCCCTCTGATTTTTGCAGTTACAGTTTTTATTGGTGTTTGTGTGAAGAGATGTTCAAATGGTTTGCGCATCTTCAGCGAACAACACCAACACCGGGGCAACAACGAATATGGCCAACATAACTGAGCCAAGATTTACTTTCATCATCAGCAGCAGCAACAACACAGCAGCCACAAGCAACAAATGAAATTTTGAAATTTTACTTTCATCCATTTCATCCATTTGGCGCTTTTCACTCTCCATTTCTGCGCCGTCTTCTACCGCTTACAGTTTTCCACAATTAAGAAACTTAACAATTATATTTGCCTAATTGTCTCGCAGAAGAGTAGAAGTTAAATAATATCTTTCTGTGCGTCTGGGAACTGAACTCGTTGCGAGTTCAGGTCAGAGTCAAAAAGTTGGCCAACCGGAATGGGCGATTAAACCTATTTGCTGAAGAGCTTTGGTGAATGCAAAAAAAAACCCAGCTAAAAAATAAAACAAACACAAAATGATTTTGATTTGTATGTGGCGAAAAAGGAAACCTTGTTTTCACTTGCTGCCAACGACTCAGAGGCATGAAGATGCTGAGCAATGCAAAGAGCCGAAGAAAAGCCGAGAAAAGCTCCTAATGGTGTCCATGTTCATCACAGATTTAGGTTATAGATATGAGATTGTATAGTAATTAGTTGCACCTGCAATTTATTCATAAACATGGGATACCTTTATTATAAAAACTGTTCGAAATATAAAACAAATGTGTAAAATAAATACCCAGGAAATCACAAGTAATTTAAACGTTCGAGTTTTTTATTTAAAAGCTTATTAGGCAAATGTTTTTCTAAGAAATATGCTAAATATATACCTCACTCTAATTAATTGGATTCATTATTTATTGAGTCAGTAAATAAGTTCTGGGAATCAAATATTGTAAATAAATTAAGATTTGACTTTTTGAAAAAATAAATTAATTCAAGATCTTTCTTAAAAGTTGATCCAATATTCATCAAGGCTTCTTAGGAAAACAACAAGCAATTTAGCAAAACCTTTGATTTCCGTTAGTCTTAGTTAAAGCCAATTATTATTAACACAAGTTATGCTCCGTTGAATCTTATTAACTCTTCAAGAATTAACTTCCCCTTCCTGTGAACTAGTAACCTGCGTCAGTCCATTAATAATTCATAAAAACTAAACGACGATTAAACCCATAGCAACTATAAAACTAAGTGAGCCGTAAAATGGTTTACACATTTTTGGAATTGCCAAAAATGATTTGGTGCCATGGGGTGCCATGAAAAACGATCGCCTTTTAAGGCTGCACTGCACCAATAAACCACAAAAAAGGCGACCTTGAAAGTGACCAAAGCCGAGCTCTCATAACATCTTATAAAGATGCTAATTTCTTATGACAACGAGCAACTTGTACTGGCCAGCTGGCAACTGGCTAAGAGAGATGATGGCAGACTGAAAAAAAAACAAAAACCATAGGAAACTTGTCACCGACTTCTGTTTCTATCGTGCAACCGGATTGGGGCCTCTGGGGTTATAAATTTCGATCCAAAAAACCCGTTGTTGACGTCGAAGAAATTTATACGCAAAATATGCACGAATAAAGTTGTAAACGAAAACGAGAGTTTGTCTCCAGACGATCTTGCCTTTAGCCATGATGCATCTAACAACAAGGCAATAAAATTAAAAAAAAATCTCCTTATAAAACTTTAATTTAATTGCTCATTGTGTCTGTGTGGGGCGAAACCTTCGGGGCTTTTGATTCTAGGCACCTTTTATTGTTTAAAAACAAAAAAAAACCCATTCAAAGTCAGAGAATCTCTGAACAGATGGAAAAATTAGCAAAGTTTCAAGGAAAAGCCACCGACGATTTTTGCCATTATAATGAGTATTTCATGCAAATGTTCTATTAAAAATCAAATAAATTTGTATGCCTTTGGACAAATTAAAAATGAATTTCCTAAACCAGATCCAGATTTTTTTATTGTTTCCGTTTCATCTTGTTATTTTTGCTGCAGTCGAACGTGTCTAAAGATCCATCAATTAGTCCCAAAACAAAGGCAGCGGCAACAATAACAACTCACCGGTATTTGTCATCGTGCTTAGCCTTGAATTTGAACTTGGCCAAGACAATAAGACCTGCTAGGCATCGACTTTTCGAGACATCATTTATTGTCTCGCCTCTCCGATTTCTCCGTGGGCTGTAAAAGATTAGACGGCCGAAATTAATAAGTTAATATTTCATTAACAAACAATGTGCTGCACTAAATTCGAAATTGTGTAGTTAAAAACAGGCAGAGCCATAAATTAACTTTGTTTAGCACAGGGCAATTTATCACCGATTTTCGAAGACAGCCGATGGCTGAGCTGACCTTAAGTGTTAGCCAAGACATGGAAATGGGCAACATGTACATGAATGGGAAAAACTAAACAGAAGTTGATGGATGGAAGGTCTCGGTAATACTCTAAGTGTATGGGCCTATGGGTAAACATGGGAATATTTAAGTTATTTTGGCCAGCTTATGATTTTAGCAGAAGTTTTTTCCTATTAGGGTGAATGTTCTTAAGTGTGGCCTCCTACACAAAGAAACAGTTAGAAATAGTAGAGTTCGGTTGAAAGAAAATCTGTTATAAATAAATAAAAATTGAAATTATTTTATTATACAATTTGTGTTTTAAAGTTAGATTCTTTTTAAACTTTGTGAAAAATGGGTGCCCCATTATTTTTTGAAATAAAAGTAGCACTCAACAACACTAAAATATAAATTTTAAAATTGTTTAAAGGTATTGAATTTCAGATTTTCAAAGACCTTATAATGTTTAAACCTTTCCTATTTAGGTAAAAAATAAAGATTTTAAACTTAATGAAAAGGTTAATCTTTTTACCAAGACTTCGTATTAAAAATTGATTTTCAAGGCAAGAATCTACAATTGAACAAAGAACAAATCGCCCACAATAAAATAAAGCAGCATTCAAAAATCTTTGCAATCGTTTTGGCTCTGCTCAAGAACCTTTTGACATTTCGACTGAGGCATTCGTTTTCATCAAAGTTGTTATCTCTGTCATAACAAAAACCATTATCATATTTAGTCAGATATTTATCTCCGCACTCGGCCCACACAGTCGGGCAAAATGTCAAAAAGTGCAAACCAGCTGAGACAGACAAAAAGACTGGCAAACACTCAATGAGCCAGGCCGAAAGACATCAAATCCAATCAAATATCCACTTAAAATGCACGACACACTTTTTTGTTGAACAACAGCACCAAAACAGGGTGTGATCGGCAAAATCTTTGAACTCAGGGCACTAAAATTGAGCACAGAAATTGTGCCATGCATAAACCGAAAGGCGGAGGAGGAGCTTCCTCGCCAATCCGCAATGCCCATCAAGTATACGCCCCGTGGGCCATTCCAAGGAGACCCCAAGCCCCGAACAATGCACAATAAAAATACTTTTTGGGAGAAACAAATTGCATTCAACTTGGGCTATCGACTGCCAAATTACAATGCTCCAATGATCTTTTCCAAGCCAAGCGGTTTGCATTAAATTTCTCGGCGAAAAAACGCATTGGAAATGAAAGTCTTTTCTGCTCGCTTGCTTTTCAATTTGTTATAGTTATGCATTGTGTTTATTATGTGGCCAAAGTATTTATTTATTTACTTGCCAGTGCGGTGGCCACCACCCTTTCAATTTCGCCCAGCCACTCGCTCTCCTTACGTAAGTCGAGCCCAGCGAAGTGACATTGAAGGCTGCCAAACCTAATTATGCAATTACCCGACACCCGAGACGGAAATCGGAAAGTGAAGCTGATCAAAGTGCGCACAATAAGTGTGTACACGAAATTAGCAGTGATTGCATTAGTTAATTGATCGATTTGTGGAGAAAAGGAACTACGTTTAGAGGGTGAATCATGGGTTTATTTATAATATTATTTGGTTTGATAAATTATATTGCCTTTAGTAATTATTAGGTTTAATAATGTAACACGTTTTATCAATTTTATTGATAAATATGACAACAATTTAACTCTTGCGAAATTGAATAATAATGGTATAGGGTAATATTAATATTTGGTCTTATTATTACACAATATTTGTACCTTTCCGTTCGGAAGCAACTATTTCATTTTAGAGATTTAGGTTTAACTTTAACTTTTAAAGCTTTAAACTAAGGTTTTTTTAAAACATATTGACCTAAAGATACAAAATATTTACAAATGTTTTATTTTCATATTTCTTTAATTAAAATTGTTATACCTTAAATTTCATACTATTAAAACATTTTTGTTTACCTTTAATCTGTAATCTGTAGGAAGCCTCAAAAAAGTCCATCTTAAATTTTATAAAGTTCTCCTCCCCCAGATAAATTTCACTACTTTGTTTTGTTACCTTGACCATTAGTCTAGGAAAACAAAATCGAAAAGCTAACCAAATACAAAAGTTCAGCCAAGAACACTTTCTACAACCAATTTTGGATAGAATGCATTTCTGCAAGAGGTAGTTTCCCCTTCGACTCTTCCCGACTTGAATGACAAGCACTGAAAGTAACGTTAATCATGGGACGTGATTTGAGTATTAAGTTAAATTAAATCCAGAACTCTCGAGCTCACAACTCAATTCGAAACCATCAAAGAGGAAGAATGCCTAAGAGGTTTCTTTTGTTTCTTTCATTTTGGAAGCGTTCAACGACTTCGTTAGAACATAAATCTTTTGCAAGGGTGTGGAGGTGTGTCCGAAATTCAGAAATTTACATAATATTTTGTACATTTCTCATTTCAGTTAGCAAACAACCAGAGAACTGAAGCCTTCAACATGAAAAAAGCCAAAGGCTGGCTGTTAATGACAGCAACAGGTGAGTTGAATTGGAATGGATTGGATCGAATTGGAGGACACTCAGGTTAACTCAAAAAACCACTTAATTTTGTGGTTCGAACCGGACCATGACATAATACCAATCCTTGCCGTGTTATGTAATTTTTGGCAGCTGTGAAGTTTTAATTAATTTAAATTTCGTTTCGATTTAGTGCTGCTGCTGAGCCTGTTGGCCTCCACAGAAGCCGCCCTGCCCTTCAAGAAGGTGTCCATTGCCAAAACTCCCGCCTCCACGAGCAGCACCACCAGCACCACGACGGAATCCACGGCGGTCGAGGAGGAGGAGGTGGAGGAGGAGCAGCCAGTGCCCAGCGGAGATGGCGGCGACAGTAGCAAGGTGAGATGATTAATTTGAAAGGCGTTTCCCGGTGGTACAAAAACATATCGTTAATGATCTTTCAGCCGGACAACGGCACCCTGTCGAAGAACTCCAAGCTGACGGGCATCCCACAGATCGACTACATCTGGGATCCCAATCTGCCCAGGGAACTGAGAGGGTAAGTTACGTTCGTTAAATAATGAAGGGAGTAAGCCTTATAGGTAATTAATAAATATCAGCCTCCGAAGTTGAGTTCCATCGTAAGGAGGATGATTAATGTCAAGTCAAGATTATAAATCTTTTTTTTAATCCTAATAAGACCACATTTTTTGTGATCTCAACTTGCCGCCGTAATAATCATCTTTACAACAGAATTACCAGAACTTAAAAAAAAAAAAAAATTGACAAATTAAAAGATTGCGTTTTAAAAATAAATGATAAGATCATAAAATTTGCAGCAGGAAAAAGATTATTATGGTTTGTTAAGGGTTACTTGCCAGTTCTTCTATGTATGTGGGACAGGTAAAGATGGAAAACGGGTGGAAAGTGTTATTTGGTTTTACCTGGTCATTTGTTAGTTTTACTATGCACCAAGTTAATTACCATTTTTGAACCTTAATAACAAACGGTTTGTTATTTACGTTTATGGCCAGCATAGAACCTTTTCCACAAATATCTAACGTGTCTGGACATGGTTAAAACAATTAATTTCCATTTCAGTTGAGAAATATTTTTGGATTTCAAGCATTTTATTACTGTAAAATAATTTGTAAAATTAACCCACAACTAACATACAACTTTTCTTCATCCTGCACAGCTACAACCTGTCGACCTATCCCTTCCTGTCCACCGTGCCGCCCATGGATGAGATCCACTTCAAGTGCGAGGGTCTGCACGACGGCTTCTATGCCTCCATCGAGTACAAGTGTCAGGTGAGCGAGCCGGCGTGACCTTGTCTGGGCCAAAAGCGACGTAACATAATTGGTCATCAAAAGCTAGCCCAACCCAACCCAACCCCAATCCCTTTGTGCCTGTCCAGCAATTTCTCTTTTTTAACCGGCGACGTGACGCCAAAAAACTAAAACTTGTTTGCGCCTCGATCTTGACCTCAAAAGCGGGCAAAAAGAAGCGCTAAACGATGGCTAACAGAGCGGATTAGTTATGGCCAAGTGTGATTAACCGGAGTTGGACTCGTTGCAGATCTACCACCACTGCGTCTATGGCATCAGACACGACTTTCTGTGCGCCAACTTCACGGCCTTCGACCAGCGCACCTTCATCTGCCACTTTGCATCGGACGTGGACTGCGAGGGATCCCAGAAATACTGGAACAGGTGAGAGACTTCCCCAGGGGGAGCCCTTTAAAAAGATAAAGTCACTGCTGAATATTTTAATAGGTTAATAGTTTCTTTATTATCTCTATTTATGCACCCAAAAAAAATCGATTTGAAACGTAGATCGATTTTACATTATTTAAGATAAATTTTAATTTGATATGAGACCAGGTAAATTTGACCTGATCGAAAAGAATATTTCATGTAAAAACGATATGTGTATTGCATGACCAAATTTACATGGCCATATCGATTTTACAGGGAACTTACTCTTTTTTGTGAGTAGTATAATTTGAAAGCGTGGATCTTAACTTGTTGCGTTTATTAAACAAATAACTAATCCAAAAATGTAATATCTTAAGCTTAATAGACTCTTTCAGAACTTAAATAAATAGTAACAAACATTTCTGCATCCAAAAAAAACGTAGATCGAGTTTACATTATTTAAGATCAATTTTAATTTGATATGTGCCAGGTAAATTTGACCTGGTCGAAAAGGGTATTTCGTGTAAAAACGATGTGGGTTTTGCATGACCTGAAAAATACGCCATATCGATTTTACGTGGCCATATCGATTTTACAGGGAACATGCTCTTTTTGTGTGTAGTATAATTTGAAAGCGTGGATCTTAACTTGTTGCGTTTATTAAACAAATAACTAACCAAAATAAACTTAAGCTAATAGACCTTTCAGAACTTAAATAAATAGTAACAAACATTTCTGCATCCAAAAAAGGTAGATCGAGTTTACATTATTTAAGATCAATTTTAATTTGATAGTGCCAGGTAAATTGACCTGGTCGAAAAGGGTATTCGTGTAAAAACGATGGGTTTGCATGACCTGAAAAAACGCCATATCGATTTACGGCCATATCGATTTTACAGGGAACACCTTTTTTGTGTAGTATAATTTGAAAGCGTGGACTAACTGTTGCGTTTAATAAACAAATAACTAATCCAAAAATGTAATATCTTAAGCTTAGTACACTCATTAAGAACTTAAATTAATAGTAACATAAATTTCTGTTTTTATTTGATAAATTCTGCTAAAATTCGCCTCTCTCTTCCCAGGAACGATGAGCTCTATATGGCCACCACTACCACCTCGACGAGTACTACAACAACGCCGGCACCACCTACTCAGCCCCCGGCCCCTCGACGTCGCCCTCAAAGACCACAACGTCCGCTAAGAAGACCCTACAACCGCAGACCCATCGACGACTACTACTACGAGGATCAGGATCAGTACGAGGACGATTACTATGAGGAGCGACCCGTGCGAAGGCCCAAGCCGAGACCACGTCAGAGGAAGCCCCAAGTGGAGCTGGACTACGATGATGAGTACGAGGAGAAGCGGACGGAGGCCAAGAAACCCATCAGGCGGAACAGGAATCGGTATCGCGATGAGGAGGAGACGCAGGAGGAGGACTACGACGAGCGGCCGAACAAGAGGCCAAGAGGTAAACCCAGTGCAGGACCGGCGGGTCGAAAGGTGTCGCCCAGGAAGCCAGGTCGCGTGGAGGAGCGGCGCAGCTTCAACGAAGATCGTCCGCTGGGCAGGAGACGTGTGGAAAAGGAGAGGACAACGCCATCGTCCGCCTTGGATGACCTGGATGAATACGAGAAGCCCTACGGTGGTGCGGATCAGGAGGAAGCCGCCGAGGAGCAGACTCCTCAGAAGGTGAAGACAACTCCGAAACCACTAACCGAATTCATCACTCCCAAGGCGGCGGCTGCATCCGTTTATGCTCGTCCCCGGGCTCCACCGAGGATCGCACGACCAGTTCCCATCAACGAGAAGAAGAAGTTCTCCTATCCGGTGCAAAAGATCACGGCCACCACACAGGCACCATCGAACAGCGCCCAGGAGGAGGAGGATTACCCGGAGGAGCAGGTGGAGGAGGACTACGAGCAACCTCCGGCCAGGAACACTCCTCGCAGACGAACGCCAGCCCCGCGAGTGGAGCAAAAGCCCACGAGGAACACGTTGCGGAAGCCAGTGACGGACAAGAAGCCTGCCGATGAGGAGTACTACGAACCGGCGGACCAGGAGACATTGCGGAAGCGCAAGCGTCCTTCGGCTCCCAGATCTCGTGCGCCGGCAGCAGATGTGGACTTCGAAGATGAGGACTACGAGGAGAGTCCAGCGCCGCCCGCTTCCACAGCGGCTCCCCTGCGGAACCAGAGACTGAGGAGCAAGACAACCACACGAAAGCCAACGGTGGCACCACGTCCTCGCAAGCCAATCGTTGAGGAGGAGGAAGAGGAGCTGGAGCATCCAGTGGAGCAAGTAGAAGAGGAGGCACCCGCCCCCAGAACGCGAGCTAATTCCTTAAGCGGACGCAACGCAGGAGCTGGTATTTCCCAGCGACCCTCATCGGTACGTGTGGTCAAGCGACCTTTTCTGCCCTCCAGGGGCGGCAGTCCATATCTGCCGCGGGGCCTTCAGCCGGTGGGCGTGGCCCTGAAGCCATTGCCCACCACCGATAGCACGCCCATTGACATGGGCTCCACCATTTCGGGAGTGCGTCTGCTCGAGCACGGGGCTCCTCTGCTAAGGGGAAGCTCCTGATGACGAGGAGGAGCCTCCTCCGTCGGCCACTCCACCGAGGACCACGCTTCCACCGCGCAGTGCTCTGCCCACCACGCCAAAGCGAGTGGAGCCGCCGCAGCGTCCCAAGCTGAATCTCGACGAGCTCTACGAGAACGACTACGATGTGACGCTCAACGATGCACTCGATCCCACGCTGAAACCGCTATCGCCCCAGCATCAGCATCCGCATCCTCATTCGCATCAGCTTCCATATCAGCAGCAGCAGCAGCAGCCGCAATCGCAGCAGCGGCAATATGCCAGCGCCTATAATCCATTCGCCTATCAGCCAGCGTATCAATCACCAACATCCGCTTCAGCATCAGCATCCGCATCCGAATCGCAACCTGCGAGCTATCATAGTGATTCATATTTCTCGTCGACAGATATACGCCGGCGGGCTGTTGTCCCGGCGCAAGCCGCGCGTCCACATCGACTCGAATACGCTGCTGCCGGAAGAGCAGCCGGCGGACCGTCCAGCGGAGGAGCCGTCGCCGGGTCGGGAGTGAGCCGGAGCTACCAGCAGGCGGGCGGACGGGTTGCCCAGCATTTCTACGACGACTTTGCCTACTGAAAGGATCGCTTGTAATAAGGTGGGTTTTAGTTTTGATTACTTTTGAAATTTAATTATTATTTAACATTTTTAACTTGCAGTTTCTTCAGCTGTAAATAAGTTTCCCCGAACACAAGGAGAGTTTCCCACTTCTTAAACAAATCTGTCTCTACCTTAGTCGTTTAGCCGCAAAACCTACTCGTAATTCAAAAAGGTTTGGGACATATTAGGCAAACCGAAAAACAACATGAGCAATATTAACTTTTAAGACCTAATTTTTTAGTTGAATACCTTAGAGCTGCCGTAATACTTGATCCACTGATTTTTCAGAAAGACTTTTTCTATAAATTCTACAAGTTCAATTGCTTTTGCTATTTTTGCTTTATCAGCTCTATATGTCCCGAACGCCCCCTACTTATAAATACGTTGTATAATACTCAAATGTCGTGATAGTAGCAGCTTGCGAATTTGTCTGCTAGCTCGTATCTAGTAGTTTGTAAAACTCACTTCCTCCTACTCGTTTATCTCCGCTAAATCAGAAATCAAAACGTAAAACATCCAGCAGAACAGAACGAAACGGAACAGCAGCATCGATGTCCGCAATGTACATTTAGAGAGAGCGAATACTTAATGTGTTAATTTAAAATTTAAAATTGCAATTTGCACACAAATTGTCTGTAATATTTAAGCTTTGTCGGAGATCGTGTTCGTCATGGAGAGCCCAGATCCAAGACTTAAGTCGGAGTGCATAACAATCAAAACAAAAACTGAAATAAATTTAAAACCTACTTAAGCGAATTCTTTACTAATCCATATGAGATGTCTGCAGGCAGTTCTTGAGGTTCTCCGTTTCCTCCTCCAGATGGTCAAGTTTTTTCATTAGAATTATCTGGAAAGGAAAGGGTATGGATATTGGTAAGGTTACAAATATTTTAATAACACAATTATCACCTTAGCTGCCGAGACTATTTCGGTGGCCACTCTGAGGGGCATGTGCTCCAAGGATTGGACTAAAAGTGCGGGTCGTACTTTGGCTATGTCCTCGATGGTTTGAAATCCAGCTGCATACAGTTGCTTGGCGCGATTCTAGACAAGAAATAAAATATATGTATAGATTATACAGACATGATTATTATCAGGGACCGTAAATAATGATTATAGATGTATTTTTCAAACAAAAAAATCCTCAACTTGGAAAAGCCGTATAAAAAAACGAATTATATCAATCGGCTACTATTTGTATGCTCTATCTATATTCGCAATGATTGTTTAATTCTTGATTTTTAAACATTTTACTCCATTTTAAAAATTATTATTGGATGAGTTTTTTTCAATTGTGAGCGAAAAAATACGCTCAAAAAATAGTCATTATTTTTTTTGCAAAATCTTCAATATATGGTTATACAAATATATTAAAAAAAACTTTTTTTTTTCAAATCTAAAAATGGTTTTTTTGGGCTCGTTCACTTAATGCTGCGCAAGCATTTTTCCAAAGAAACCTCTGAGAAAGAAGACATCATATTTTAAGCAATATTTGGAGCAAAAAAATAACGCTCAAAAAATAATCCTTATTTTTTTATTATTTAACTTATAATGATTACGGTCCCTGATTACACTATGCAGCATCAAAGAACCGATGAATGCTATATTAAATTTTCCTAAAAGTTCCCGACGCAAGGATCTAGCAAAGACCAAGTTCAATTGGGCCAAAAATGGATGCATGGCTTGGTTTTTTTAAAAAGACCTTTTTACCCCACACCAAAAAATTTTTTTTTTTTTTTTAAGGAAAAAAAAATTCAAAAAACATAGTCAAAAAATGAAAACATACAGCGCGGTCAAAGTAGTAGCAGTGTTGCCGCCTTGTGTTTTAAAAGTTTGATGTTGTAATTTTCTTATCCAATTAGTCTAATAGTAAAATTATAATCAATACAATATTACCAGGAAAAGATCAATTACAACAACAAACTTTTATGTTTTTGACTATGTTTTCTAGAATTTGTTTCTGCCTTAAAAAAATCTTAAAAATTTTTAAGTATAGGGTTTAAAAGATAAAGGGTGTATATTTTAAAAACTTAACATAGAATCAAACCATGCATCCATTTGCCTGACCAAAATCCAATTTTTTCGAACTTTGAGGCTTTTCTAAAATCCTTGCGTCGGGGAACTTATTATACTAATTCGTAACGAATCAAAAATATAGCATCCATCGAGGTAAATTTAAAAAGCCCTAAAAATGCTGCACAGTGTTATTATTCCCACTCACAATTTTAACGGCTGGCAGTTCCATTAGCGGCTCCAGTTCAAAGGTGCCGCAGCGATCCATTTTGTGGAGGATGCGTTCGAACAAGGGTTTGTAGCACCAGAACTCCTCCAACTCCTCGCACAGACGGACTATCGCACTGGAGGCGGCTATAGATTGGCTAATCAGATGCTGCAGCGTTCCCCGCTCCACGTTGTACTTGCTGGCCACCGAGGGAAGCGGCAGGAGATTCAGTATGTCCGCCAGGATAAGCACCTTGTAGAGGCGGTTCAGCTGCAGGGACAAGGGACCCTGGACCGACTGCGTCTTAAAGAGTCTGGCTGCATGGGCTTCCGTGAAGCCGAGCTGCTTGAACAAGGCCTGCGCGTCCGGCGGCAGCGAGGTGTAGACTCCAAAGAGAATGCTGGCATCGGCCGGAAACAATTCGTCGCCTGTTTCGTTCGAATTGAAGCAGACGACCAGGTACAACAAGTGCAGGTAGTTCGTGAGGATGAGCTGCTGCTGGGCCTGCTTCAGCTCCTTGTGGATGGCATTCGCCCGCTTGTAATCGATGCCCGCCTTGAAGGCAGCTCTTCCGATATTGGTCAACTTAAAGGGGGTGGACTGACCAATGAGCAATCGACGCTCGCCAGCGGGTCGGTTGGTTTGATTCACCTCCTGCGTGGTTATAATATCCGAGGAATTGATCTTCGATTTGGCCGGCGGCTCGGTTAGCTGCAGCACTTTATTCTTAAACATCTCGCGAAGAATCCGAAGCACTATCTCGTCCACGGCCACCTCCAGGGAGCTGGCCTGCACGGAGAGAAGGGTGCTGTGCACCAGACGGTACAAATCCCGACGGCATTCTGCCAAGTTCAGGCCAACCACGCTGAGGATGAGAGACTGAAAGAAGTATGGAATTAAAAATTATATTATTTCTTCTGTTTTGATCTATTTTTTCTGCCTTTCCGCTATCAAGTTTCGACTTCAACTGACAACCACAACATTTCTGCTTATTCAGCGGACTCTGCATAAAAAGAATCATGCGATTGTATGTCCCATTTTCTTACAGCTAAATAAAATAAGCTGAAAAGTAAAACCAAATTTCCCAATTATAGAAGTCAATAACCTGAATAAAATAAAAAACAATTCACCTTTTTTTTCGCGATTTTCTTTAAGGCAATTCAGCAGGGTCAGCTAAAAAGCTGGCTCGTGTGATCCAGATAACAACAATTTACTAACTAACTTAATAGAATTAATGTTTATATTTAATATGTATTTACATATTTAACCCAAATTTATATTAGTTAAAGAGTGTTTAAAACTTTCCTAAAATTAGGTTCTAAACTAAAACTTCCCAAGTTAAGAACCCATGTACATCTGTTTAATATGCTGACAGCCCTAAAAATAAAATAGAGTTTCTTCGATAAGTTCGATAAATATAAGGATACAATTTGTCATTCTTGGTCGACAAAAAGTCAATGACAATCAAAAAAAAAATATTGCAGATAATAAAATATTTTGCCTCTGCTTAAAATAATAAAGAATAGATCGCCAAAATGCAAATCGTATGGTATTTGGAACACGTGACCACCGGACATCGTTTCAACCTGAGTTACGGGTACAATTTGTTGGGTCGCCACTCGAGCTGCAGTATCGTTTTGGATACCAACTACTACCAATATGTGTCTAGAAGGCACTTGATTCTCATCGTCGGCGATGAGTCCGTGGTTGTGCGATCCTTGGTGAGTTATCTCAGTTATATACAAAAAAAAACTTGTCCATATTAATTCCTATTTTACCTATAGAACCCCTTAAATGGGACCTTTATCAATGGGACAAGAATGATCAACCCCTTGACCGTGGGACGGGGCACCATCATCAGCCTAGGAGTAGAAGGAATCCCAGAAATTTCAGGCCATCTTCCCGTTTTTGCCCTGAAAAAAGAATCTTGGAGAATTGAATTGCCTATACTCGAACTGGAGGCCCTCAAAACATATTAATTCGGATAATATAAACCAAATATTAATTGTTGCATTAAACATTTTACAACCAAATAAAAAAAACAAAATATTTTAATGCAAAAATAAGTGTGCATCGATATTGTTCTTTTTTGTATTCAGCGCTTTGAGATTTCAAAACGAACACGTGAGTCCCAATTCTTTGCAGTCAACTATAAATGACGAATTAGCAGAAATACGATAGCAATCATTCCCTTTTCCCTTCCAAAATAAATAATTCAGCAATATTGCAATAACATTTTGCAATTGATCTGACTCCCATCAATTTTAAAGAAAATAAACTTGCTAATGCAATTTTCTTTTGTTCCCATTCAGCAGACTCTGCATAAAAATAACCTGGCGCTCAGGTGTCCCACTGCTTCTCAAATAACTAAAAAAGTCAAGCTCGCAAAAAACCTATACAATGGCTATCGTTTCCCCCTTCTTATGCAATATGTGCAAGATCAACAATTTTATTTAATCAATGTGAACAGATATTAATTTGAAAAGAATTTTTGACGCGAAATAATTTTTTGGATACAAAGAAATCTAAGTCATGGCATACTTTTATGAAATAATTTAAGTCTTTTTTTTAGTATGAAAAATTGAGTTAGGAAATTATACATTTAAATCTTATGCCTTTTTAATAGATATATAGATATAATAGAATGTGGAAATCAACCATCATATAATTTAATTTTGCTAAACAAAAATATATTCAAAATATAATTATAAAAAAAAAGTACATGAATATGTATTATAAAATTATTGAATAACGGTAAAGTTTTTCTACAAGTGTAGGTATAAATTGGAAATCACTATCCGGTCACTTTGGTCGGCTACCTATATAAACCCTCAGTTTTCGGGTTCTGTCTCACAGTCTCTAAACACAGTTCACCAGACAACAAGTCATAGACGGAAAATATAATTTTCATTTTTCATTAGGACTAAAAATATAAAACCTTTTGTAAAAAGAACAAAAATTAACACTTTATCAGTAAAAAAACTCATTTTAAATAGTCAATATCCAGTTATCAGAGGAAATTTATCATTATAGGTAAGTCATTAAAGGAAGAAACTGTTCCTTGTAGGTAAGTATTTAAACATTTTCCTACAGATCCGCCGTGTAACAGACCCATTCGTTTTCTAATCGCTCTATTCGTCCTTTAAAAACTTTGGGAACTTTAAAAACCTGTTTCATATCCTGGCAGACATTGCATATTTTCGCAAAAAAAAAAAAAAACAAAATTGTCTAAAACACGTCTAAACCGTCTACATCTGCAAAAGAATTTTACATTTGTTTTTCCTTAAACAAATCGAGGTCGACGCCTATCAGTTTCTATAAAAAGAATTGCAAATTTTCGTCCAATTTTTTTGGAATGCTTTTTAACGAAAAGCCTACATGTTTTCAAAACCCTTAATCCCAAAAAAGGCCAATTTTTTGTTTTTATAGCAAAATAAGCAACTTTGAAATTCAATTACAAGAGAACCACGCATATCCGCGGGAAAACTTCTGCTCGTAAATTCTCAAGAAATCGGGGTACATCGGGTACATTTTTTTTTGCGATTGTGTTACAATTGCATTAGTAAAATGCCAGAACTTACTTGCAATCCAACTGCCTCCTGCTGATCCATCGAACTCAGTGCCTTATCCATGGGCGAGAAAAGCATTTGGCCCACCTGCAAGTTGTCTTTGCTCTGGGTGATCAGAATACTCTCGCCAGCTTCGCCCAATCCGGCGCGACCAGCTCGTCCCACCATTTGCTTGTACTTGCACAAAGTCATAAATTCCTGGCCAACATAAGGAGCTCGTATGATAACACGCTTCGCTGGGAGATTCACTCCCGCAGCCAAAGTGGAGGTGCAACAGATGACTGTGATTACGCCAAAACGATAGGCTGTCTCAATGTACTTTCTCTCATCTGTGGTCAATCCCGAATGATGATAGGCAATGCCATAAGGCAGAGTTTTCGCCAAAACCGGGCTGAGTATACCGCACATCTTGTCCAGGGCATCCATCAGATCCAACTTCTCGCTACGTCGGTGTTCAAAGAACTTTTGCTTTGGTACAATGCGACTGAGAAGTAGCGCCACGTTCTCGCAGTTCTTGCGACTGGGACAGAAAACCAGGCAGCAGTGTTCCGGAGCACATTCGCTGATCAATCCCGCCAAGTGGTCAGGATCCGCACGTTTGACAGCTTCGCTGTACTGCAAGTTAAATTCAGGAAAAATTAATAATTTATAATATTTATAACTATTTATAATAGATTTCCATACATTATAGTCAACGCTGCGACTTGGGACGAAGATCTCTTCCAGTGTTTGGCCAGCCGAGTTGATTTCCAGTAAATCCTGGCCACATTTTATGTACTCCTTCAGCTCCACGGGACGAAAGCCCCTTGTGTAGACATCAGCATTCAGAAATGAGGATATTTCGCTGAGATTGCCTATCGTGGCACTCATGCCCACAATTTGAATGTTCGCTAAAATGATCTTTTTTATAGTTCATTCAAAAAGAGAGAAGAAAACAAACTATTTACCATTCAAAAACATCACCTTGGTTAGGAATGCCTCTAGGGTGGCTCCTCTGCCCTTTTCGCCAATCAAATGCAGTTCGTCCACCACCACGAGGCCAATCTCATGGGGACGCTGTACATCTATCAAGCTGTCCATTAGAACAGCTCCCTTCTCAATGGAGGCAATGAACAGACTGCGCCTCTTGCGACGCGGCTCAGGCGGGCATTTACCCTTGCCGGCGGTGTACTCCTCCACCAGAAAGTCCAGATCGATGGCGAATGGCGACATGGCGCTGACCTTCTCCTGGACAATCGACACATATGGCAGGATAAACAACACGTTGCGTTCGCGGCAAAGGAGTTCACGTAGCATAAGAATTTCGGCCACTAGGGTTTTACCACCGCTCGTGGGCAAAGCATAGATAAGGTTTTTTCGCTGCTTGATTGCAGGTAGATTCAGGCACTCGTCCTGCCATTCTAAAGGATATCATATAAATTATAAGTAGGTAAAAGCATGTGTTGTTTGGGTTATTAACCATACCGTAAAGACTTTTGATGCCCTTGTGCTCGAGTATCATCTTCTTGACCCTGTCCGGCAGGCCATAGAATTCGCCCTTGCTGGGAAACGTGTCCTTGACTTGATGGTCCTTCTCGAAGTCGGCGAAAGCCTGCGTCTCCCAGTTGACGGGATCCAGAATGGATTGGTTCTTCAGCTCCTCGCAGGTCACACACTGCGTGCCCTGCACTATGCCCTCTATCACAGATTTCGAGATAAAGGACATGGATTCGTCCTTAGCGCCTGGCAGAATCTTCTCCGGCGTCCTGGGCACCTTAAAGGTAACCGCCTCCAAGAAGAGCTGTGTGTTCTGAGCGATGGGTTCACTGAAGTCCTCGGCGCCATGGAAAATGTCCTCCATTTCGCCAATGCTCAGGTCGTTGAGGTTGATCTTCTTGAAGACCTCATCGGCGTTGTCCTCGTCCGCTAGATCAATTTTATGGTCATCAGTGGGGGCATTGGTTTCCTTATCCGCCGAGAGCTTCTGGGTGGAGCTTCCTGGAAAGGATGTGTCGACGAATAGTCCCAGGCCATCATCCGATCCGCTTTGCTGCAACTTGTTTTTGCTCGTCTCTACTTGTGTCCCAAAGAGTCCATCCTTCCGTCCATCCAGCAAATCCTCCAGATTCGCGTTGGAGAAGAAGCTGTCGCCGTCGTCGCCCTCCGGCCAGAAGAGGCTCTCGCTGCAGTGGCGCTTGGCATGACTTCCACTGGGCGCTTCCTCGGTCAGATCCAAAGTTCTCTTGTTTATCTTATTGCACAAGTTTCGTTTATTCGCCATTTGGCGCTCGATTGTAGGACCGTCGCGAGAGTACGGTGGAAAAACACAGAGACCAGGGATGCACTAGCACTAGCCAAGTTTCAAACACAGGGTCGAGTCTCCGCTTTAGTGTTGGTGAAGGTTTTTATTGATACACTTCTATAGAGTATTATAATTATATTTAGCGCTTTGTTTTATATATATACTTCATCAGCGGGCCCTCAGTTATTTTCACTTAAAGTTAATTCACTTTGATTATTTAATCAAATTACCTAATTTTTCAAATCCAACTTTGTGAAATATATATGTCAGATGTTCTCTCTGCTTTGAATTTTGTACAGGCATAGTTAAAGAACAGATTTAAAAATTAAATGATAAATTATAAATAATTCCGGTGTTTATTTTTATAAAATTTGAATAATTACCGTTAACAATTTTACCGTTTCGACCTGCTTTAAAACTGCGCCTTACAACACTGCCATTTACGGTTATTTGAGAACCAAAACAGAGCGTGTTTGCTGCGTAGTTTTGAGAACCAGGAGGCATAATTTCGTGATTTGAAGTAATAATAATAAGTAATATCCATTCGGTAAATGTGCATCGATGCAATATTTCGCAACCACTTGCTGGAATCGTTGTTGTTTTCAGCGGAGCAAGCGCCGGTCACATTCGTCGCATCCTCCTTGAATACAAAGTAAATAATTTACTTAAATCTCTTGTTTTAGAGAACGACGCCGCAGGGGACACTTGGCAGGATGAGCAGCGTGTGGTATCTGCAACATGTGACCACTGGCCAGCGCCACATCCTGCACAACGGGACCAACTTGGTGGGTCGCCACTCGCGCTGCCGGATAGTCCTGGCTGGAACCTACGAGTTTGTGTCCCGGGAGCACGCCAAGTTTATCGTGCGCGATAACGGAGTAGTGGTGCAGTCGATGGTGAGATATCCTAGTGCCTCCAGAAAGGTACACATTCCCAATCATCTCTACATTTTACCCTTAGAACGCCTTGAACGGCATCTTCATCAATGACGGCAAGCTGAGCGACAAGATCAACCGCTTGCCCGTGGCCGAGGGCTCCATCATCAGCCTGGGTGTCACGGGAATCGAGAAAATCACGGGCATCCATGCCATTTTCGTACTGAAGAAAATGGAGCCCACGGCGGAAGAGGTGATTCTCTCCTCCGACGACGATGATACCACGCCCCTTCCCCGCTGTTCGATCCCCCAGTGGCAATCAGCCCACTGAGTTTAATCTTCAGCAGCAAATACCCAACTTTGGGGTCAAGAAGGACCCCAGCCAGGAGGAGGAGCAGCAGGAGGAACTGCCCTCCAGTTCCGGTCTGCATCTCCCAAAAATAAACGAGGTGAAGCAGGAGATCGTAAACCAAACCACCGAGCAGATACAGACCATCTTTGGGGAGCCCAACGATGCCATTCTTAACTCGGTGCTAGAACTAAATCCCTATTTGTACAACCAGCTAAACAAAAAGGCTCCGGGCAGTGCGACGACCCAATCCAAAATTCACGATGGCGACTGCATTGAACTGGAAACTGGTGCAGAGGGGCCAATACCAGAGGAACAGCAGAACTGCGAGGCAATCGAGCGACCAGATGGCAACCAAATGCCGCCACCGCAGGAAGTGGTCAACGAGGAGGAGGAGTACGACGAGAGTTTCGCCATGTCGCAGGCAGTACTGCGCGAAATGAAGACCGAGATGGCCTTCAACGAGGGCGAAGAGGACTTTCTGGACTGCAATGGCCTGGGCAACATGGCCGAGGGTTCCCCCACATCGCATACCTACGACGACGTCGTCATCGACATCAGCGACTCCGAGGATGAGGAGCTGTACGGCAAGGTGGCCGACTGGTCCAAGTTGCTCAGCCAAAAGATGGTTCCCGATGTCATCGAAATGTCGCAGACATACCCGGTGGTTGAGGAGGAGCAGCAGGAGGATTCGGACTCGGACATGGAGATTGGAGTGAAACATCCGTCGAGGGCTTTGCGCATCGAAACCTCCAGTGAGGACGAAGCTTCCGAGACCAAGTCTTCCAACGATCACGTTGTGCGGCAGGGTAAGTACATCATAAACTTAACTATCACTATTAGGACTAACACTTTTCTGCTTTCCCTCAGCCGACAGCACAACTTGCGATCCTTCAGCGATTCGAAAATGCTCGATACGCATAAGAAAGCATAAACCAACAGACAATGTCAGCTCCACTGCAGATGTTGAAGGTTTCGAGGAGGCAGATAAAACTAGGGATGACCGTCAACCAAAATCTTGTTTAAAAACTAGGCAGCCACTAAATGAAGAGACTAACAAGTCCTCCAACCGGAAGAGAGATACATCAAAGCCCACAACTTCCAAGGTAATCGAAGAGGCTACCGTTGAGCCACCTAAAAAAATGCTACGCAGTCGTTCAAAGTCATGCTATATGGATCGACTAGAAGAACTAGATGAACTTTTAGGATAAAAAAGGAAATAAACAAAGGAAATACAACGAAGAGACTGATAACAGCCGAGAAGAATTGGTGGTAACTCTAGAGGCTCCGGAAAAAGTAGACATCCCGGCCAAAAAAAGTAATAAAAAAGGGGAAACTAAAAAGCCCACGATTCGCGGCAGACGCAAAACAATTCAAAGTCGAGAAGAGTTCGAGGCGTTGGCGGTTTCTCCTTCGAAACAGGCCAATGATGAAGATCTGGTTGTGACTTTAGAGGCTCCGAAAAAGCTGAACACTCCTTCAAAAGAAAATAATAAAAAGGTTGAGGATAAGAAAACCCCGGTTCGCGGCAGACGCAAAACCATACACAGCCGAGAAGAATTCGAGGCGTTGACGGCTAAGATTAAGGAAGCTGAAGCGATTACCCCAACAAAGGTTACTCCTAAGCAGAGCACTGCTGAAGTTCCAATCAAACGAAGCCCAAGATTGCTCAACCGCTCGGTATCGTGCTTTATGGATCGTCCTGTGACCACGGAAACCGATAGTCCCATCAAGAAAATTACCAAAGAGCCTTCTCCAGCTAAAAGCGATACTTTTGGAAGAGCCACGAGTTCAAATGAGGCCAGGTTTTCACGCGGACCATCAGTTATTGAGGCTCCATCCTTGCCGAAGAATCGTGGCAAACTGCGAGGGGTCTCGGCAGAGGTTAAAACCAAAGAAAAGGTAATAGAGCGCCAGCGTTTAATTGACTACAAGGCCGACATGAACAACAAGTGGAAGCAGAAGCCCAAAGACAAGAAAAAGGAAGATGTCAAAATAAAGGAAAATCGCCGCGAAGCGCTCAAGAAGCTGTCGGAAAAACCTAAGGAAAAGGAGAACAGCTCGAGGAGCGGCAAGAGAAAGCACATAACAAGTGTGCCCACCGTTAGCAACTCCAATCGAGGCGATTTCCTAACCAAAGAAGTGGGGCCACCGGCGAAGGTGGCCAAGACGGACTTTGCCAAGCCAAAGAAACCCATGCCTGCTCGACGCTCCACCATCGAGACATTCTCCCAGCATCTTCGGGCAGCTGACGAAGCCTTGCTCTATCCGCAGCCACTTTGTCCTCGTACAGTTGAGCGTAAAGACGCCGAGCAGGCGAGAAATCAGCGCACCTGCAATAAAGTTACCTTTGCCGAAATGGAACAGTACCATCAAAAGGCCGAGGATTTAAATAAGCTTCAAAAGAAGCTCAGGAAGGTGCATTTCAATGATAATGTCGTCGTACACCTCATCGATATGGTCCCAGAAGCCAGATCCCAGGTGCAGGGACGCAAGGAGAGCATCAAGCTCTTCCTCAGCACCTATCGCGAACGCCACGAATGGGTTCGCAAGGATAAAAAGCCGGTGAACGACATACGCCAGCACTCGCGGAGCATCATGAAATGGGCTAACCAGTGGCTGAAACTCGGCAGTGTCGAAGCGGCCGACCTAGATTGCTTACTACCGATTTCCCATGAATTTAATTCTTTCAAGCACTACAAGGAGTGAGTTTGATGATTGATATTTATATGTAAGGCCCTGCTTACCTTTTATTGTCTGTCTTTTACAGGACCTTTGTTCCGCTGATGAGGCTGGAGCTGTTATCCACCATCGAGAGGGACTACAAAGCGAATACGCAGGTTTTTTCCGTCACCTTAAAGGATTTTTATGAACAGAATAACAGCTTTCGTTTGGTTACCAAAGGTTTGTAGCAGGGTTCGAAAAATAATACACACTGTAAAAAACTTGCCTTATTAACATGTTTAATGTCAAAGTGTTAAGTTCAAAAAAGTTATTGACTTGTGTGTAAAAAATTGTATCCTACATGTTATTTACACGACGTGTTATTAACACGACATGTTATTTTACACAACGTGTTTTTAACACAATGAGTTTTTGACATTAAAAAAATGCACGGTTTTCCCGAGTATAAGAATTCATATATTTATGCTTTGAAATGGTTAAAACTAACATTTTAGATATCACGCCCCGTATTTGTTTTTCATTTTCCCTTCGACTCGTTAATGTCAGTGAAATGTAATTTTCATTTGTGTTAAAAATAAAGTGTGTAAAAAACACATTGAGGAAAAAACACAAGTGAGCTTTGTGTGTTCACAATTATTTTTCACATTTTAACACTTTTGTATTTGACACACATGTCAACAATTTTGCTCACACTGTAAAATACAATTTTTCTTGTTTTTAACATTTGTGTCAATTTCAGGACCCTGCTTTGTAATAGAAAATGAGTGTGGGCCTTTTTAAAGAGAAGGAATCTTAAAATTATTTTTAATTTTATTTTCAGTCAATAACAGACCCAATGGAAACTTTGTACTTTATACCCTAAAGGGTAAACCACTGGAAGAGACATTTGCCAATCTAATAGACGTCAAGTCTTCCGGGGGTAAGTCATCAGATTGTTTGCCCTAGACATCCCACAAATAATGCTCTTTTTCCTTCTATCCAGGCAACCTATACGAATACACTTTTGAGATCCTGAAAGAGGCTATAATCGAAGAACGGCTCAAGGAACTAAAGCTTATAACTGCCCGACCAGTTGTGGATAGTCTGAGGGTGGAGTTAGGGGCTTTGAGTGCCGTCCATCAGCTGTATTGCTCGCCGCTCTGGCGTCGCATAATGAAGCCCTCGCAGACAATAATTGAGGTTGCGCTACCCAAGCAGCCCTTCACCTTCAAGGGCTTCAGTAAGTTGAACGAACATCAGGAGAATATTGTACTGCGGACCTACCAGCGCGTTATCGAGGATGTGGAACCGAGTCTCACGCTGATCCAGGGTCCACCGGGAACGGGCAAGTCCAAGGTTATTTCCGAGCTATGTCTGCAGACGCTTTATGGCAATGCCGCCAGGATGCTGGACCGTAAAATATTGATTTGTGCCCATTCCAACACGGCCGTAGATCATATTGTTAAGCTGCTTGGCATGGTGTGGCGTGCAATGAGCCACGACCGCTTCCAATTGCTGCGCTTCGGGATGCATGAGCGGATGAGCGTTTACTCGCGTCCCTTCTCGCTGGAGGCGCACTTCAATAAAGCCAGGGAGCGAAAGATGCAGGGACTTACCTCTGAAAATAGTACGATTCTAAAGAAGCAGCTCGACGACCTCAAGGCGGAGATACATCAACTGAAGCAAAAACCAAATCTTGCGGGCACATATTTGCAGCAGCAGTTGCAGCAGAAGGAACGCCAGTTGCGGTTGGTCAGCGATCAACTGAATCCGCCGCTGTCTCAGCGCGAGGAGTACGAAATATCTCGAAATTGCGTGGCCCAGGCCAATATCATCTGCACAACGCTCTCCTCGTGTGTAAAACTGGCCAATTATGTGGACTTTTTCGACATCTGCATCATCGATGAGGCCACCCAATGCACAGAGCCCTGGACCCTGCTGCCCATGAGATTTGGTTTATCCCATATGGTTATGGTTGGTGACACCCAACAGCTACCGGCGGTGGTGCTGTCCAGGAAGGCCATCGATTATGGCCTCTCCAACTCCATGTTCGACCGCGTTCAGCGGAGTCTGCAGAAGCAGCTGGACAAGCCGGGCGGCAATCAGTTTGTGCATACGAAAATCTTTAAGCTGAGCATGCAGTACCGCATGCACCCGGAAATTTGTCGCTGGCCCAACAAGTATTTCTACGAGGATCAGTTGGTGAACGCCGAGTGTACCGCCCGCTTCGCATCGCCGCTCATTCCATACTGCGTGATCAATTTGAGATACACGCAAGACAACAGTGGCGCTCAGAGCCGCAGTATCAGCAACGACGAGGAGGCGCGCTTTGTGGCCAAACTCCTGACCGAGATGGACAAACACATGTCGAGCAAGCTCTACAGCTACGGCATAATCTCGCCGTACCAGAACCAATGTTACGCCTTGGCACAGGTGATTCCCAGCCACATGAACCTTACTCCTTTGACCGTGGACTCCTATCAGGGATTGGAGAAGGATGTAATCATAATTTCGAATGCCAGGACACGCGGCTGCGGCTTCCTCACCAACTACCAGCGACTCAATGTGGCTTTGACCAGGCCGAAGCGTTGCTTAGTCATTTGTGGCAACTTTGATGATCTGAAGGTGAGTGTCGAGCATGAAATATCTTACAGAATATATTTATAAACTTGTGCTATTTATTAATTTCAGTCTGTGGACATGTGGCGTCAGTTACTCGAAGATGCTCACGATCGGAAAGTATACTTTGATTTGGAGCGCGAAGATGTGGACGACCTTCATAACTCGCTAATTAAAAAGATGCTGGTTAAGCCCATCGATCTGGCTTAGAGAAATCATCTCAATTGAATTGATTAAAACGGATTTTAGCTTTAGGAATCCCCCCAAGTGCCATGGAAGAGAATCTCTTCCCATTTAAGTTTACGAAATAATTTTGTTCTTTTCACTTCACTTTTTTATATATTTAACATAGAGACTGTAAGATTTTAGATTGAAATCTTTGTACACTTAGTTCATTAATACGCCGTCGACTTGCATTCCTTTCGTAAATGCCATACAGATACTCGTATAACAGGATTTATAAGTAAACGATTATATATCATCTATGTACTTTTTGAGAAAGTGTCACGGGCTGAGGATGATGCTGATGTATTGTATGACCGAAGGAACGTTAAGAAATAAATATTGAATTCGTTAAAACAATTGTTTACTGTCTACATATTGCACTATATAGAGTTACACACTTTTTACCCGCTCGTAATATCTCCTGCTCGTCCCTCGGTAATTAACTAAAATGCGCTTCAATTATGCTAATCTCCAGATTCTGGCGCTGCCGACTTGATCATCTCATCTCTGGTTATATAGTAATAGTATGTAAATTCACTAACAACACGCACACACACATAGTCGATATTAAATTCATAGTTATTCTGCCTTGCGTTGAACTTAACGCCTGTCAGGGGGCATTAAAATTAATGGAATCGCTTCATAATTCGATTGCACTATGTAGAGTTTAACTTAATGCAAGTAAATGAAGATACTAACATAGGAAATTAATTAAAATGTAGCAACAAAATCTAACTAAGGACTAAAAACATAACAAATATTATGCCCGTAATTAACTTATTTTATGTGGCTGCCCAAAGGTGCTTGCCCGTTTGCTTACAAATATACATATGTTAATGTATATATAGAAATTTCGGCATTAAATATAGAGCGTACGACTAAAGCAAACATCTTGTCCGAATCTAAATGATAACTGATAACCGATTAAGCTTAGGTTAGCATGTCGCCCAGGTTGTCCTTGAGCGACTGATAAATTTGGTATTGTTGATCAGGTTTAAGGTTGTAAATTTGAGTCAGCAGCTTCGCCGGCGACGGAGTTCTGATGAAGCTGGATATATAAACGTTGACGAAGGTGGCCATGAGAAACTGGCAATCGAAGCGATCCATGATGCCGCCATGTCCAGGAATCATGTCGCCAAAGTCCTGGGTTGGAAATTAGTGGATTTGTTAGAAAGGGAAAATTGATTTGTAAAGAAAACAGAACTCACCTTAATTTTGAAAGCTCTCTTGAATCCGGAGGCGAAGAAGCCGCCAAAGGGTCCAATTATAGAGCTGAACAAGCTCAGGGAGATCGAGTGCCAAATGTAGGGGTAGAGGCTTATAGTCTTGCCAATGCCGAACTGGAAATGATTAAAGTGCATTTAGTGGATTTCAGGGAGCGGTCGATATTGAACATTAACTATTGAGCTGGGAAAATACAGCAGACCCACCCTACTGACTACTTCCCACTGTGAAAATCATTACTCACCAACTTAAGGCTGTATTCCTGGGGAGTGAACAGATAGCTGGGCACACAGGACATGGTCATGCGACCCAGTTCCTCCGAGTACTGGATGGGGCAGATGAAGTACTGGTAGTTGCACAGAACGTAGGAGAACAGAATGCCGAAGAGAACGGTGGCGAAGCCACCCCCAATGAAGCCCTCCCAGGTCTTCTTGGGACTGAGCTTGATGAGGGGGGTGCGTCCGAAGAAGAAGCCGAATACGTACGCCATGACATCATTGCACACAATCATCGAGACAGGTACGATGAACCAAATAAGGCCCTCGAATATATTCTGGATGATGAGGTAGCTCTGGGTGACGACAATTAGCAGGGATACGTGGGTCCAGGCGAACAGGCTGAACTGTTTGATATAGTACTTCTTCACCAGCGAGAGGACAAACCAAACGAAGCCGATGATGTACAAGGCGAAGGATAGGAAACGATGGTAGGTCACCAGGAACTTGAGGTATTCCTAAACAAAAGATATACATATAGATACAATGGTTAAAAGTCCGGACTATTTACTGACCACTCGATTAATGACAACGCCAAAGTAGTCAACCAAATTCTCCCCGTAGAAGAAGTAATTGGAGGTGAGAAGGAAGTACCAGGAGAGACTCCGGAACCAGGGCAAACCGTGAATTCGATACACCTGGTAACCAATGGAAATGATCTCCTGGAAGCATTTCACCTGGACCAGCAAAGTCTGCAGAGAGAGGTTATAATATATTACATATTTTACAACAGTTAAAGATTCCATTGAACTCACCGTGATCATCAAGGCCAGTGGTCCACCGTAGATGATCAGTGCGAAGCCGCATATCATAATCCATGTGAAAATTCCTCGGATGACCCAGTTCTTCCATCTGTGGAATGCGCAAAAAAATATTGTTTGTAAATGTACATATTTATTTAGAATATTTGCTCGCCAACTGCAGCCAGCTGTGGGTATTTTGGAATACACTCATACAGCCGAATTTCTACAATTAGCACTTCCATAAATCAAGTAAAAGATTAATACAATACCAAAATATTCGATGTTTTCAAATATGTTAGGAAAAATAAACTTTGAGTTTGAAAAACATGGCAATATTTGGAATATTTTTAGCAATGTGTAATGTACAAAAATACAATGTGATAAAATCATAAAATTTAATGTCTCATCATTTGGAAAATAGAAAAAGTATAAGCAGAAAGCTCTTTTAAAACAATCCTAATAAGGCAGTTGAAAGGTTGGTTAAAAATATATCTTTAGAGTTATAGTTAATTAAAATTTTTCAGTACTATGTATTACTATTTTGGGAATTAAACTACCCAAATCCGATCTTTAAAAGTTCTGGAAAGTTAACTACACTTACCTATCGGGCAAATCCTTGAGTGCCGAGTCCAGGATCTCGGGTGTCTTGTCGGTTCCTTGCGGCAGATTCTTGGCCAGCTCGTCGACGAACTTCTCCTCGGGAATCTTCTCCTCCTCGGAGTCCACCTGCGGGGGAGGGGGAAGATAGAGTACAGCACATATCGACTGGATTGGCTGGGAGTGCAAAGTGGGTTCGGGTTCGGGTTCCGGTTCCCTATCGGACTCGATACGACCGGAGTGCAGGGTTTAAGCACTTTCTATTGGGCGCTGAGCAAAGTCCAAGATACGTGTATGTATGTGCCTATATACCCATAATCAGAATCGCTTGTTTATCCAATACACAGGCATATAGAAAGACACGGGAGGGAGGGGGGAGACAAATAGCGGGCTTTTTTCGGTGGCGTGTTTTGTTTGTTGCCAAATCGCTCGGTTGATAAGGAGACATTCGGGGGGCTTATCAGCCGGAAGGGGAGGAGGAAGTCTGGGAATGGGAATGGTAATGCCTCTCAGACCAGGTTCTTGGCTTCCGTAATGGACCTAATTGGATTTGCTGGCCATAATGGCGCTATATTGCAACACAGCAGGTGGGTGGGTGGCGCAGGGGGTGGGTTTGTGTTTGTTATTGGATTTTCTCCAGGAGAGAGCTCTCTCTCTCTCCCTCTCTCTTTCTCCCACCTGCTTGTGCGTCAGAGAATAACAAAAACACACACACCCACACACACATTTGTTGGTATACACACACACTGTGTATTGGTTTTCTATGCTCCAAGAATTATGCAAATCGGGAACAAATCCGGAACAGGCTGCCCGCTTGGCTGCTCCACATACGAGTCATTGCCTTGCTTGCCACTTACATGGTCCGAGGAATCGGCTGCGGAGGAATTCCGCTTGTCGGCCCCCCCGGATCCGGAGATCGCGGTGTCCTCCAGTGGCTCCTCGTCGGGCCTTCTGCGTCGCACTTCGGCCATTATTCGATTTGCACCCGATCTAGTGCCGATGTATTGATTCCTATTGATTCCGCTTGAGCAGTTCGTCCGTGTTCCGCTTTCCGCGTTCTCCGTGATCCGTGCTCCGTGATCCGTATGTCCACTTCGTCCGAAATAAAATGCTTTTCTCTATTTTCTGATTGGAATAGAGCGCAAGTGTGGTGTGACCAGGTTGGACTAAGGCAAACGAGCTCTCATTGCTGTTGGGATCTGTCACGCTATTTCTGGCAAAAATTGAATGGGTAAAGAGTTTTATGTTATTCAAAATGTTTAACCATTTAAAATTAAATTTATAATCAACTTCAAACTGTAATTTTACACTAAGATAAGATGGTTAAGTGCAATATTTTTGAGTACCAGTCACAGTCACGGCTAAAAATCATTGCCATCCCTGGAAATTGCAATGCCCACCTTTCGACGTTTTCCAACACCTCTACCGGCGGCGTCACTTTTTTTCGGTTTATCATCTCGCCGATTTGCAATTTTCCTGCAGAAAAACGAAAAAGAAAAGCGTAAATAGTGAAAATGGCAGCGGCTATTGATGGTGTTTTCCCGGCCCCGTTGCAGGAGCTGGTGAAGAAGTCCAAGGTGCTGGTGGTGGGAGCGGGCGGAATTGGCTGCGAGGTGCTCAAGAACCTTGTGCTTAGCGGTTTTACGGATATAGAAATTGTGAGTTAAAATCAGAAAGGTGCTTTTCAAATGCTAATAATAATGCTAAACTTTAATCAGATCGACCTGGACACCATTGATCTGAGCAACTTGAACCGACAGTTCCTCTTCCATCGCGAGCACGTTGGGAAATCCAAGGCCCGAGTGGCGAGGGAAAGCGCGCTGAGCTTCAATCCGGATGCCCAGATAACCGCCTATCATGATAGCGTTACATCGTAAGAATACCCTGTAATACCCCCTCAAATAGTCAGTTAACCCCTTTACCTTTTAGTACTGATTACGGGGTAAACTTCTTCAAGAAGTTCGACTTGGTGCTCAGCGCCTTGGACAACCGGGCGGCCAGGAACCATGTGAATCGCATGTGTCTGAATGCCGATGTTCCGCTGATCGAGAGCGGCACCGCCGGCTACAACGGTCAGGTGGAGCTGATCAAGCGCGGACTCACCCAGTGCTACGAGTGCACGCCGAAGGACAAGCAGCGCAGCTTTCCCGGCTGCACCATCCGCAACACGCCCTCCGAGCCGATTCACTGCATCGTCTGGGCCAAGCATCTCTTCAAGTGGGTTTCAAGTTTAAACTAGAGCCCTGCATATTGCATTTTTTGTTTTATATGAATGAATTAATTAGAATTTTGAGTTTAATAGAATCGAATGAATTTAAATGTTGAGTTTAATAGAATTGAATGAATGAATGGCATGAATTCCGAAATAATACTAAAGACAATTTCTTTTAAAGAAGAAAGGCCCAACATTTTGTGATTAAATCTGCCTGAATTTTATTTACTAAGCAGTTAATATTGATATGTTAAAAATTTTCCACTTTTTGTTCTTAAAAGAAAGCACAAAACAAATCAGGCAAATTCAAAAAGTTCATAAAAATTATTCATTCATTTATTCAATTCAAAATTAATTAGAAAAAAAATTCAATTTATTTCACATAGAATTGACTTAAACAAATCAGAAATTTCATGGAATACTATGATAAAACAAAAATTGAATGATTCACGCAGGGCTATAATTTAAACCATTAATAAGTCTGAAGAATTCTCTCTAATATTTTATTATTTTTAGTCAACTCTTTGGGGAATCTCTGGAGGATGAGGACATTTCCCCCGATGCCGCTGATCCCGATGCCAAGGAGAAAGATGATGTTGAGCAAAAAACTGATGAAAAGGAAAAGGAGAAGGAGGAGGATACCGCCAACGGCAACGTAGTCCGCATCAACACCCGCCAGTGGGCCAAGGACTGCAACTATGACGCCGGCAAGCTGTTCAACAAGTTCTTCAACGAGGACATCACCTACTTGCTGCGCATGTCGAATCTCTGGAAGACGCGCAAGGCACCGGTGCCCGTGCAGTGGGACACTCTGCTGCAAAAGGACTCTGCCGCCGGCGACGAGAAGGATGTTGCCAAGCAGCATCACAAGATCTGGTCCATCGAGGAGTGCGCCCAGGTCTTTGCCAGCGCTTTAAAGGAGCTCAGCTCGACCTTCCTGAAGCTCGAGGGCGACGATACGCTGTCCTGGGACAAGGACGACCAGCCGGCCATGGATTTCGTGGCCGCCTGCGCCAACGTTCGTTCGCACATCTTCGACATTGAGCGCAAGTCGCGGTTCGAGATCAAGTCAATGGCGGGCAACATTATTCCGGCCATTGCCACCACGAATGCGATTACGGCGGGCATTTCGGTGATGCGAGCGTTTAAAGTTCTCGAGGCCAAGTGGGAGCAGTGCAAGGCCGTGTACGCAAGGCTTCGCCCCAATCCTCGCCAGTACTTCCTCGTGCCGGACGCCACTCTGCCGGGTCCCAATCCCAATTGCTATGTGTGCGCCAGCGATCCGGCCATCACCCTCAAGATTGATACCAAGCGCATCCGCATCAAAGGAGCTGCGCGACGAGGTTCTCGTCAAGACGCTCAACATGCTGAATCCGGATGTCACCGTGGACGGGACTGGCTCCATTCTGATCTCCTCGGAGGAGGGCGAAACCGAGAGCAACGAGGGCAAGCTCCTGAGCGAGCTGAACATTGTAGATGGCGTGATCCTCAAGTGCGACGACTTCTTCCAGAACTACGAGCTGAGCATCATTATCTCGCACTTTGATGCGGAAAGGGATGAATCTTTATTTGAAGTTGTGGCCGATGCCGAGCAGCTGAAGCCCAAAGGAGGAAAAGGAGGCGGAGGAGCAGAAGAAGGATGATGAACCCAAATCGGCCAAGAAACGCTCTGCCAACGGAGAGGGAGACTCAAAGGACGACGGTCCGTCCACCTCGAAGCGCAGCAGACCCACCGAAGTGGAGGACGATGATGACGACGATTGTCTGATGATCGAGGAGGACGAGGACGTGGCGGAGGTCGTTGCCGTGGCCACAGACAAACTCACCGTGCAGAGTCCTCCCAAGTCGAGCGCCAAGCGCAAGCCCAGCGAAGTGATCGAGGATGAGGACATCACGGAGATCCTGGACTCCTCCGACGATGAGCCCGCGGCGCCCACTAAGAGTAAGCGCTCCCGCCTGGACGAATCGCTGTCCAACCCGGTGGAGGTCATCAGTATCGATTAATCACAAGGAGATGAAACTATTCGAATAAGTTGTAGGCTGCACACTAAAATATTTCCTGGATTCCTTTCAATGAAAAGCATTTTTGTTTTGAATAACACATTTTTTATGAGTCATAAAAACGGGGTTTTTATTTATTTTCAAGGGGATAATTTTTCATTCCAGGAACCAATTAAGTTAAGTGGAATGACATTATTTTAAGTATTCGTATATTTTATTTAACTAACAAATAAATTAACAATTTCAAATTCGATAACTTTTAAGAGCCAGTGTTGGTTAATCATTGTTTTTGTTATCGGTTTCTGGTTAGTTGGATTCCAAAACAGAACGTGAGCTTTTCTCCCTAGTTTTTTTTGTAAAATCTTAATGAAAATGGCTTTTCCAGATGTCGCTGGCCAGTAGAATCCTGCAACAAGGCTCCCGCCTGTGGAATGGCCTCAGTGCCGCACGTGGCTCCCATATTCTTACTCGACCCGCTGCTCCTACGATCGGAACCATGCAAAACACACAGCTAACGCCCGCCATCGCTGGGATTCCCCAAGGATCGGGACTCCTGAGCCCCGGCAGCACGCTGCTCCAGCAGGTGGCCGGGTTCAAGGTCAAGGGTCGCCTGAAGCGGCGCTGCAAGGACTGCTACATAGTGGTGCGGCAGGAGCGCGGTTATGTCATCTGCCCCACGCATCCGCGCCACAAGCAGATGTCGATGAAGAAGCGCGACTACAAGTCCTGGATCCTGACGCACGCCACCCAGTCCAAGGAGCGCGGCTATTAGTCCTAGTTAGGCGTTAGTTAAAGCATTTGTTTGAATATGTTCTTAAATAAAAAAACAAAGAAATCGAAGAGGCCCATGTATCGATGCGTTTACCAATACTGGATCAGCTGATTTTTTGTTTATCTTGATTCTGGACGAGATTTGCAGTCGTTTCTTGCCGTTCTGCCGTTCCATTTCTGCATCCGTGGCCGGAGCCCAGTGCACCTGACCCCCCGGAAAGATGACCACGCACTTCACCAATGTGCTGCGGCAGGCCTTCAAGACATTCGACCGCGCGAATCACGCCAGCTTCAATGCGAACCTGCAGCACCTGCGCCAGTTAACCGATGAGCTGACCTACAGGGATTTGCATCTCCGAGAGGAGCTCTTCCGGAGCGCCGGCGCCACCAGCCACCGGGCGCCCTGCAGCTACATGCACATCTTCGAGGACGAGCGCTTCTCCATGAGTTTGTTTATTGTGCGCGGAGCGAGTGTGATTCCGTTGCATGATCATCCCATGATGTTTGGCCTGCTGCGCTGCATTTGGGGGCAGCTAAGGGTGGACAGCTTCTCACAGGTTATAGGCCCCGAGGAGCCTTTAACCTACGACCCGCATCCCGCGGTGGTGAAGGTGAAGGCCGAGGAACCCAGCCTGGTGACGCCCGCCGGTCCTTGTGCCACCTTGACGCCGCGCAAGAGGAACTACCATCAGATTGCCCAGTTCGGCAATGGCGTGGCCGCCTTCTTTGACATCCTCAGTCCGCCGTACGACGCCGATATGCCCACCTTTGGACCGCGACAGTGCCGCTTCTATCGCGTGAAAGCGGATGGCAACCAGGTGCAGCTGCACTGCATCCCCTCGCCGGACACGTACTACTGCGATGTGGTGGATACGCCGGAGTCCGTGGTGCAGGCCGCCTTTCAGTGCGCCGACGAGGTCTATGCCGAAAATGCCAGCGGAACGCAGTGAATTCTGCCGGTTGCCCCTCCTAAAACCCTCCTATTTATTCGCCCATCATCACCCGTTGGCTAAAACCAAGTAGCAGCCAAGTATCTTCTGTGTTATTTAAATAAAATTGCCTCTTTTTTTTGTAGAAATCACTCCGCTTTCACGGAATTTGTTGGGTTTTATTCTTCTTGTGCTTGGTAAATGTCTTGGTTTCTTCGCTTTAGCTTCTTGATGTTGGGAATAGAGGGCACTGGAGCAGATTCCTCCAACTGGGGGCCTTCTGGGGATAGGATAGCTTCTTCTGGTTCCTCCTCCTCAGGCAAATCTATCACGTTTTTATCGGATGTATCTGCAGGTTCTGATTTGGGAGCTGGCAGGGATAAGTTGAGTTTTCTTTTGGTGGGCGTGATTAAGGGTTCTCCTTTGTCTTCTGTTAGTTGCTCCTCCTTATCGTTTGACTTATCCTGCACCTCTGCAGCTCCCACCGCAGGCAGTTCCTTCCCATTCGCCAGCAAAACCAAGCACAGTGGATCATCTATGCCCAAAGGCGGCACAAAAGGTGTTACTTTGGGGATTTAAATGCACCTTCGGTTGGCCTACAACCATGTGCTTGTAATTCCCCTGCTCTTCGGGATCAAAAGCGGGCACTGTGCGCTCAAAGTTCTCCGGTACTAGAAGTTTCTCGAACTTTGTGGTCACCGCCTGCAGTTCCTCTTCGGTGGGCGTGAAGTTAAAACGCTCTGTAAGCTCACCCGCCTTTTTCCCAGGCAGATAATAGTAGTTCTCCTTGACAGAAATTAAATGATTCGTACTGTGGAGGATGGCCAGCCACTGGGAGTCGTATTCCAGGCGTGGTTTACCCTTAACAGGGTCACTGGGCAGCTCCACCACCTGCAGGAAAGCACGTCGCGGCAGGCATTTGTCCAGGGCCAGGAATTTAGTCACGGGAACTGGCTTAGATGGCTTCTCCTTCTCATCATCTTCATCTTCATCCTCACTGCTGCTGGAGGAGGAGGAAGAACCATCATCTGACCTCTTCTGGCTATGATTATGCGGCACCAGCGCGGCAAACTTGCAGTGCAGATGGGCAGCGAACCAGTAAGACGGCTGGATGGCTTTGAGAAGCTCCTCCAGTGGCTGGCTGCCCAGCTTACCGCTCTCCATGTCCGCGGCAAAGAAGGGTTTCCTGCGCAACAGCTGCGCCTTGTTGCCGTACTCATAGATCCCGGTGGGCCAGTCGTGGGACAGGAAGATGTCCACTCGCCCGGACAGCTGCTTCAGCCGGAAGACCTCTAACTGGCGCACATGGTAGACACTGCGGCAGGTGGACTCGTTATAAGGAGGATATTCATGGTGGCCGCGGAGGAAGTCGTGTCCCTTGAAAATGCCACTTATTCCAGCGATGCGAACTCCATTCACATTGACCACTCCCGCGTAGCCGAGGTAATAGATATTGGGAGCCACCCAGCCGCCGTAGGGAAGCTCCTGCAGGTAATTGGAGGCCTCGTGGTTGCCGCCAATGAAAATGGTCAAAACAGGAGCCACCAGCTCACCGCTGTAGTATCTATCAGAGGGATAAATTAAATAGGTTTTCTAATAACCCGTAGGTAACTCCACTCACTTGTAGAAGGAGCACATGTCCAGGTATTTCTTGGGAACCGCCATTGTTTGCAAATCCTCCAGATTCCTGGTGGACTGGAAATCGCCGCAGCACAGCAGCAAGTCGATCTTGGTGCCGCCATCCTTCTCGATGTTGGCTATAGTCTCGTATATGCGCTCCAGCTCGCCATGGGCGCATCCTTCTACAGCTATTTTCATGGTTATCCCGGGAAATTAGGATTTATTTATAAAATTTCAGTTTGTAAACAAATGCGGCTTTGTTATCGAAGAATGAACTGCTTGTAATAATCGAAAATAGCTCAAAAACTGCTTTAAAAATTAGAAAATATCGATAAAAATTAAGTTCTATCGATAAAAGCCCGCTAAAATTTAAACTCTAATTCCTGAAATTGCTAGCCAAAAGCCAATTTATAAATTATTTTTCACATTTAAAATATATATAATATCAACCGCCTTATAAAACACTAGAATAACCCACTCCCTTGACATATTTCCTTGTCCAGTTCAAACGTTAAAAATGTTTTTTTGTTTATTTTTCAAAAATATCGCTTCATTTAGTACAGAATATACGTGTATGTGTGTGTAAAAGAAGATGTATGTGAAATGCTCTGCGTTGAATTCTCATTCTCATTCTCTGACCTCTAGATGCCATCATTATTTTTTGGAGTTCTGCGGTGCTGGTGGGCACAATCTCATTTGATGAGACCTTCTCGTCCTCGACGTGTTTCGTGTTTATCGTTTCGTTTTGTTTTGTTTACATACAAAGATTTACAATGGACTTTCGACTTAAGTTATCATAATTTAGTTGGCCGCCATGGCCAAGAAATAGGAAATAAAATATAAATCTACAATAAATATAGTGCGGTCCTGGACGCCGCTCGCCCGATGGATCCGATCCGACAGATCGATCGGTCGCAGCAGCATGCATTGGGTACACGGAGTGTACGAAAACCAAGAGAATGCCTTAAAAGCCATCATCAGCATGCCAGATGTGTTTTGTTTGATGTTTTTAGTTATTGTGTTTTGGAAAGAATATGAGAAACAATCAAGTCAGAAATCGACTGGTCAATTCGGTTGTTAATTAGGAGCCGAACTTGAACGTAGTGGGCACGGCGGTCTGCGGGAAGGCGAAGCCGCCCTGCTTCTCGATCAGCTTCGATTCCTTGGCGGCCTTGCGCTGATCGGCGGTCACCACCACCTCCTGCAGCGCCTTGGCCTGTTCGGGTGTGAGGTTGGAGGTCAGCAGCGCATACCAGGCTTGGTCTTGTGCAGAAAGTGCTGTTAAGGAGAAAGGGTTATTTAATTTACTTTACAAATATCCATAATCCAACTAAACCCACCTGTTATAACTTCCTTAAACGTCCAGTACTCATCGATGGCGCTCTCGTTCTCCTCATCGTCGATGGGCGTGGTAAAGGACTCTAAACCAGTCTCGTTCAGATCCCCCACAGACTCCTCCGCCTCTCCATCAGAATCCGCATCCTCGTCCTTGATCTCGGCCTTCACCTCAAAGCCCGCCTCGCCGCCCTTCGTCTTGGTAAATTCGGCCAGTTTGTCCAGATAGTCGGGCGCCATTTCGTCCATATCATCCTCGTCGCTGGACAAGGCCTCCTCGCAGTCGTCACAGTCCTCCTCCTCCTCCTCTTCCTCCTCCTCCTGGGCACGCGACTCGTAGGCGCGCTTCAAACCATCGAAAAGCAGAATGAGGGCGGGCACAATCTTGCCGGCCACTTCGCTCAGCACCTGCGGCTTGGCCTCGCCCAGCGAAATGAGGGTGCAGAGACCCAAAACGCACAGTTTGCGATCGTGGATGCTGGAAGGGATCAATAATAAATAAAAGAAATAGCTCTTCAAGAATTTCGTGGATTCTTACCCTAGGAAACAGTCCGTGTCGTGCAGCCACTGCTTAATGAAGTGCGCGCTGATGGACTCGTTGTTCTGCTGCGACATCTTGTCCAGAATGGACAGCAGCAACTGGGGATTGTAGTAGAGTGCGGCGATCACCACCTGCAGGCACATGGTGCGCAGCTCCGAGGACTTCACCTCGCGAGTTAGCCGCGAGAGAGCCAGCTCCACGAACATGTGTATCACCGAGTCGATTTGGCCCTTGCACTGCAGGATGATCACCTCCATCAGCTTGGCGGCATGGCACTCGGGATCCTCGCCAGGACTGCCAGTGAGCATCTAAAAGGAATAAAAGTTTTTTATTGTTAGAAAAACGATAAGTAATAAGTAGACCTCGGATTTTGCATATTTTTATAGGATAACGATAGATCAATTCCGAAAAAACCAAAGTTCGTTTCAGTAAAAATATAGTTTAAAATTAATAAATTGAAAATTGCATATGTGCAAATATGTAAAATATAAAATAAACTCAACTATTCAAGATTGAATAGCCAACCTAATTTATCAGAAGAAAATTGTTTGTTCCTTGTCGTCATTTCTGAGATAATTTATTATTTAATTAATTTAATTTTTTCCCAAATTTAAGGAAACCCTATTTATATTTCCAACAAGTAGGCGAGAAGGGGGCAAAAATAGTAAAAGGGGCAGAATAGTTTTTGGTCGTTTAAATTGCTCGCCGTGTTTACTGAAGGTTCCTTATAATACCAGAGGGCTGCATTAAAAATTTGAGCCTACAGTTTTTCGCATATATTTTGCATATTTTATGGATATATTTTGCATGTTTTGCATATTTTATGCATATATTTTGCATATTTCCGATATGCATACGAATTTATTACTTTTGAAAAATATGACAGAAATTTTGTTAAAAATCGCACTAAAAATAAACAAATATGCAAAATCCGAGGTCTAGTAATAGTCATAATATATCTCACCGTTTTGCACATATCGAGAATGGCCAACAGCCTGTTGGGATTGGAGAAGAAGGCGGGCGTGTCGACCGTCACATAGTTATGCAGCGCAGGCATAATGTCGATAAAGTAGTCAATGCCGTCCTTCTTGAACACCTGGTAAATCAGCTCCAGCATCTGCCACATCTCGGGGGAAATGGCCTTGGCCGTCAGGTCGTAGACCAGCGAGAAGGTTTCCTCATAAAAGTCTAAAACGGAGGATAGAATAATTACAAAAGATTATAGCAATCTAAAACCAAACCCTACTAACCAGTGATGTTGTGCTGGAAAATGTGTCCCACCACATTGATGACGATCGGATGAAGGTTGAGCAGCACATCGGGATGCTCCTCCATCACGCTGAGCAGCGTCTCAATTGTGTTCAGCAGACTCATGGCCGTGATGGCCTTCTCATCGGATCCCTCCTCGGATTCCAGAACCTGACTGAAGGTGGTGGCCAAATGCTGGCAGATCTCGGTGGCCACCGGCAGCAGCTGCTCGGTGAAGGTGCACACGATCTTCTGCATGACGTTCGTCAGATCCTCGTTCTCCGTCTCGCGGATAATGGTGAGCAGCTCCTTGGTAATCTCCTTGATCTGACCCTCCACAAACTGCGGCGCTTCGTCCTGGGACGATAGGAACATCTGCAGACCGATGGCCGCCTCCACTTTGACGGGCAGCTCCTTGTCCGTCAGCAGAGCATTGGTGGTCAGGCGCATAATCTCGGCCAGCACCTGGGGATTCTTGATCTGCACGTCGCAGAAGTAGTGCAGCACCCAGCAGGCACGCGCCCTCATGTGTCCGGCGGGATTTTGGAATTCCGGGAACACGTAGGTGGTCAGCATGGACTCCACTTGATCGCGGTACAGAGCCTTCTTCAGCAGCACGTCCGCCAGAGTGCCAATCATGTGCAGGGCACCATCCTTCTGCTTGTTGTCGGCATTTGGGGATGTGATTATCTGCATAATGGTGGCCATGGCCTTGGGCAGCACGCCCTTGCGCTTTTTGCAAATGGAATGCAGCAGGGATTGGGCAGCCGGCACTGGGGTGGCATAGTCCTCAAAGATATCGAACTTCAGGCGAATGTACTCGTACGGATCGCTCTCCCAGAGCTCCTGATCGGAGTCGGTGAACGACATGATGGGAAAGATCACGTCCTGGATGACGGCCACCATGTGCGGTTTGATCAGTTTCCAGGTGTAGGCGTGGCTAACGCTGAAAAATGGTATTACAAGTTGTTTATCAGTTGGTCTTACATATATTTTAAGAACAAACAAGTTTGTGGTAAATAAAAAGAAGTGTTAGGCTGAACCAAACCAGTCTTAACTGATTGAAATCCACTTTCTTAACTGCAATTAACTATTAACTATGCCTTATCAGCTATAAACATTGTATACATGCTCTCTATCAATTGTTTGGAATGACCCCTAGAAGAGTGACTTTTAAAAAGTAGTAAAATTAGCTTTTAACAGAACTTGAGTTATGGGTTTTTATATTTTTTAACCAAATGAATAAATAAATAAAGGAGTATTGACTATTTCGGGTGCCTCGACTATCAGATACCCGTTACTCAGCTAAAGCGGGTGCGAGGGAGATGGAGATATAAAACTTTGATCGTGCATAACTTCTTAACGAATGGTCCGGTTTAAAAAATTTCTTCTACATTTCGATAGGTATTGCTAAACGCCATAAAACTGAATGTTTACTTTTCCAAAATCTTTAAAGGTTTGAGCGCCAGACACATTTTTAAATCGATTGTGGGCGAATATAGGCGTTAGAGGGGCGTGGCGCCCGGCTGAAATAAACTTGCGCTCTTTAGGAAGCCCAAGAATATGTGTGGGAAATCTCAACCTTCTAGCTTTCGTAGTTTCCGAGATCTCGGCGATCATACGGACAGAAAGACAGACGATGACGTGGCTATATCGACTCGGCTAGTGACCCTGATCAAGAACATATATACTTAATGGGGTCGGAAACGCTTGTTTCTCCCCGTTACCCTTTTACTCTACGAGTAACGGGTATAAAAAGAAAGACAAAATTCCCAAGTCTACTTACGCATTCTTCAGATAGTTGAGCACATCGGTAAGGACTCGCGGCGAGACGTAGACGCGGTTGCGGTACTGGTCGAGGATCTTGAGGAGCACCTCCAGGACGCCCTGGCTGAACGTGGGCAGATACCACTCGGCGAATTTTTGGTACTTTTCACTAACCACATTGCTGGGACTGCCATACCTAAAGAGATCGTAACATTTTAGTTCTCTGAACCACAAGAAAAGCCATTTAAAAAACCCACCGCTCGAACATGCGAACCATGATGTGGAGGGCCCACTTCTTGGTCTTCCAGTAGGGGAACTCCGTGCGCTCGTCATCGTCCAGGTGCGAACTGTCGGGCACATCGCGATCGGCCACCTGCCG